AGCAGGGCAATGATAGCATTCGAGCGGACGCGAGGGAATGGCAAGCCATACTAAGCGCAGGGCAAAATGGATGTGGGCTGGAGGCGAAGCAAGGCACGAGTGACGAGGAGAAATTGGAATTTGAAGTGGATAGCAATGGATCATTGCCTTTCTACATACTTGATGCTCATGAGGAGATTTATGGTGCAAATGCTGGGAATGTTTATCTCTTTGGAAAGGTATACCGTGTTTTACATTGTTCCCGTTATGGCGTTATGCATATTCTTATGTATTTGTTTTCTCTACCAATTTACAGCTAATCTTTGAGTGCTTTCTGAGTTTCGAAGTGAAGTTAATTATGATCTATAATTCTATATACCCCCCTTTGTCTTGTAGAAAGCACTTTAGGGTGTTTGTAAGTTACGTAAACCTACTAAATACTAAATACTATTTCTAGTTGCAGAACGGCATTTTGTACTTTCTAATTACAACTCTCGGGGAGGGGTCGGTCACTTGCTGCTTTACTAGGGATGTTTTTATTTTTTTCGGAGGGCTGCATTTTTTTTTTTCCCATCCTTTTGTTTAAGTGCACCATCTGGATAATTCTTGTTTACATGACCATTTTTGTGAACTTCCATTACACCATTATCTAATTTTGTGAAATTTGGTTAATTACTCAATCGTTCTACATCACTATTATATTTATACTTGTATTTTAATGAAACTCTTAAAAAAGAATCAAATAGCACTCTATTGCTTGTCCCCTTAAATAACTACATGTATCTTAGAAATCATCATATACGCATATAGGAATTCTTCTGGCTCAAAAGGTACTGCAAGTGATAATTCTTTAATTTGACATCTGATTGGGTTATTGTGATTAAGGTCAAATCTGGAGGTACATACCACAGCTGCTGTGCGGTTGTAAAAAACATGGAGAGATGCGTGTATGCATTCCCAACTGTTTCTTTCATGGAAAATGACTCAATTATAGAGCTAGAGAAAAAGGTTGAAGAGTCTCAAGCATCCCCCATGGATTCTAAGGACTTAAATATAAAGCAAGAGAGACTTGGTGAAAAGTCCAGAAAGCCATCCACGTCATCCACAGATCTCAAAGACACAAAATCAAAGTTAGAGAAACTTGTTGAAGAGTCTAAAACAGCTTTAAGGACTCAACTTCATGTAAGATTGTGCCATACCATACTTTTATATTCACTCTATTTTTCTGCTCCTTTTAATGGATTAAATTTCTTTGTTAGGAGGTAGCATCAGAACTGAAGACTGAAATGAGAAAACAGTTAATAGACCGAAATATTTCAAGTTTCAGCATGGCACTTGTTAAGGTTTGTAAAGTGGTATATTTTCTTAATTATATATCTGTAAGTTAAATAGTTGAAATCCACAACATTGACTTCTTGATTCGTGTCATTCCAATGAAGTCTTGTTGAGTTATAAGCTTGAAACCCCGACTCCTGTCCTTCTTTTCTTCTCTTGTAGAGAAATTATGCATTTGAGAGAACAGACATACCTCACGGGAAGAATTATGTCCTCAAGATCAGCTATCCTTTCAAGGTATACTGGAATTTCAGTTCATCAAATCCATTATGAATGTTCTCAACCGCTTTATGTGGTAATTCAAGCAAGACTTTGATATTCATAGCCTGATTCTGAACACTACATGTTAGGGGAATGGTAACAAATTTGAAGTTTATTTGGCTCAATCACTTTCCATTTACTTCATTGTTCTTTGGCTTTATAGGATCCACCACTACCATCAGACCTCAAGGGAGAGCATTTCTCTGCTTTGCTTGGAACTCATAACAGGTATTAGTTAATGTCGTCTGCTGCTGGTCATGTTATTTGCTGAAGATCCCCTATGAATGGTGCCAAAAGATTGTAGGATTTGTTGGGTTCTTAAGTGATGACAAGCTTCTAATAGTAGTTATAGAGGAAAAACATCCATGAATATTTTTTTATTAATGCACCACGTATTATGTGTATCATCTGACATCCAGTGTTCGTACTTGTGATTTGCTCCTGGTTTAGGACTTTGATAATTTCTCAGCGAATTTAGATGTAGTTTTATGGTGGCAAATTTATGTACCCCGTGATACCCTATTATTTAAAAAAGGATTCTAATGATTGCTGTTTATTTCAGTGGCTTGGAGCTTTTTCTGATTAAAAGGAAAATAAAAGGACCATCATGGCTATCAATTTCAAAATTCTCCAGCTGTACAGCTTCTCAACGTGTGAGTCCTTTTATAGGTAACCTAGTTATGTATTTATACTGCTGTGTTCGTCATGTAATAGATGCTTCTTTCACATTCTGAACAGGTGAGCTGGTGCAAGTTTGAGGTTACTGTTGATTTCCCAAAGGATGTTCAAGTTTCCACTTCCTCGACACATGTTGCAGTGATTCCTCCAGTAGTAGTTACGGCAATTAATTTAAAAACTATCATCAACGAGAAACAGAATGTAAACGAAATTGTCTCGGCATCTGTCATTTGCTGCCATAGGGCTAAGGTATAGCATATGAACTATCCTGATTTTCCTTTCTAAAATTTCTTGTTGCTTCTGATTTTATGTTTAGCATGCCCTTCGTTTTTGTTTTAAAGATAGATGAATGATAAGCAACTGTTTGTCCATTTACTTTCTCATCTTGACCTTTTATTTTTCAATGTCCCTTTCCTGTTAAAACCATGATTCAGATATCATAAGTACCTATTTGAAGGGTATCAGTAACTGAGCTATCAATAAATTTTCAACTGTTAGGGTAGTCCATGTTTGGTTAGTATTAGTTAATAATTGCACTCCAGGTTATCATGCCGGTCGAATGGAATCTGCTTAAGTCTTAAGTCATAAATATAAGCCTATTAACTGGGCGATGAATCTTCAGATAGATACTCCCATGGCGGCCTCAGAATGGACTCGCCCAGGCATGCTAAGTCATTTTACTGCAGTGCGTAGACTTGAGGGAGGCATATTTCCGATGGGTTTTACGAAGGAGGCAGCTGAGAAAAATGCGAAGGCCGGGTCAAATGTTGTTTGCTATGAAAGCAGGCATGTTTTGTTACAACTGTGTCAATGCTTTGATTCATGTCCTCCTTTGTTGGCCAATTTTTGTTTTCTTTGACGCACTTCTTCCATTTTTTAACATATCTTCTACGTGTTAAATGCTTTTTGAAATTTCAGTGAAAGGGCTTTGTTAAATCGCTTGATGATCGAGTTGCACAAATTGGATAGTGATTTTCTAGTTGGGCACAATATATCTGGGTTTGACCTAGATGTACTTCTTCACAGAATTCAGGTATTTAACTACAAAACCTTTGTTCAAGACTTGGATATAAAGGCATGTTATTTTTTAGATTACAGTTTTGATTTTATTATTCGTCCATGGCCATCACTTTTGCTGTGTGTGAACAAGTTTATTCTTTGGCACCAAATTTGCATTCTGGATGTTGTAAATGATAGTATAGTGGAGCACTTTTGTATCTCATAATGTAATGGTTTTTCTAGGCTTCTCATTTTACTAATATATATCAATTTGCACTAATGAAGCCGCATTGAAATGACGTAAATCATCCGCTGTTTAGCACTCAACCAGCTAATTTTTTAAAGGATTTGCTGTTCCATGTTATTATTTATGTCAGCTTTTCAATACTCAACCAACTCCTTTTTGCAGTATTTACTATTTTCTTAACTCTTTTATTCAGTTGAATGGCATTTGAACCCTATTATATGCCTTTCGTCACTTGGTCTCTTTGGTCACATATTGCATCTCGTAGGCTTGCAGGGTGCCCAGCAGTATGTGGTCCAAAATAGGCCGACTCAAGCGGTCTACAATGCCCAAACTTAATAAAGGAAGCTCTGTGTTTGGTTCAGGAGCAAGTCCAGGAATCATGTCATGCATTGCCGGCCGTCTCCTATGTGATACTTATATTTGTTCTCGTGATCTACTAAAGGAGGTGGGTTAGTGTTTTAGTGTTGTATCATTTAGGAGTTCTAACTATTCCTTATTATTTGTTGCTTTCCGCTTCTTCCAGGTGAGCTATTCCTTGACAGAACTAGCAAAGAAACAGCTGAAAAAGGACCGTAAGGAGATCACTCCACACGATATTCCTCAAATGTTTCAAAGTTCTCAATCTCTTATGGAGCTTGTAAGTCCCCGCATTCTCTTTAAAATGTTGATTTTTCATTTTCAACTAATAGGATATATCATGAATTATTTATTTCTTTATTGAAATAATATTGCACGGGGCAGGATATCTGAAATGAATTTGTCTTTGATCTCAGAGTTCACTGAAAGTCGATCAGTATTTCATGTATTCTGTTGTATGTCAAGTCCACTGTATCTTTATAATCTAAAATGGTGGAACTTAGATTACCTTAAAATTTAATGCATACTTTTTAAATCCAGACTCTAGGTTTCGCTGTTTCTTTTGAAAAGTATGGGTTACCAGTTTGCTTTGCAGATGAAATTTCTCCTTATGCTCCTGTTGCTAGCACCTTGACCACTTAATATTATTTTTTTCTTAGAGTAATGGTCAAGCCTATTTTCTGATTTTGCAGAGATCATCTGATATCTCAGCTTAAACTGTGTTACCTGATGACTTCATAAATGTTTAACAATTCCACTATTTGCAGATGGAATATGGTGAAACAGATGCATGGTTGTCGATGGAGCTCATGTTCCATTTGAGTGTTCTTCCACTCACACATCAACTGACTAATATTAGTGGCAATCTTTGGCATAAAACTCTCCAGGTGAAATTTTGTAAGAGATCTAGGTTAATGTATAATCTCATCAAATCATTGTAACAAAAAATTGCAAGCTCTAAAATTCTTTATTTCTGTCTAATTTCAGGGTGCTAGGGCTCAAAGAGTGGAATATCTTTTGTTACATGCATTCCATGCGAAGAAATTTATCGTCCCAGACAAATTTTTTGCCCAGTCCAAGGAGGCAAGGACAAAAAAGCATAAAATTAGTAGTGGTGTTGAGGGAAAAGAAACTGTCCCAGATGATATAAATTCTGTTGAAGAGCCAGCAGAAAATCACCATGGAAAAAACAAAAAGGGAGGTTCCTATGCTGGTGGATTGGTGTTGGAGCCAAAGAAAGGACTATATGACAAATATATATTACTACTGGATTTTAACAGTCTTTACCCCTCTATTATTCGGGTTATTTACTTATTTTTTCTTTTAACCTCTTCTAGCTCTTCCCTCCTGTCTCTAACTGTTTTCTTTCGAATATATATTTTTTATGATGTTAATCTATCTACTCATCTTTTTTGCAGGAATATAATATTTGTTTTACTACTGTGGATAGATCTACGGATGAATCAGTTCCTCATTTGCCAACTAGTAAAAGGCCTGGAGTTCTACCAGAGGTGAATCATATCAATATGCATGCTTTTATGAGAATTGGCAATAAAAGCTGTTAACAAAGAATACTTAATAAGAACCTAAACAATATCAATTATTCCAAGCTTCAAAATAGATGAAATGAAGAGTATAATGCATTAATTGTGACATCAATCGCATTTTTACCTAATTAACCATAGTTAATCCATATTCTAACTTAGTGATAGTGGTATAATAGGGATACCGAAAAGGTTAAGAAACATAAAACCTTCGAATAGTGCTAGTTCCATTATGTCTTATTATTCCATAGAGTCATTTTATCGAATGTATAATACACTGAATAGTCCTGACCTGGCTTTTTTAATAATGCATCCACAAATTCATAGATCACTAGGTCCTGTGCATCAAGACACAACTATATCTGAACGCATGTGCTCTGAACCTCTTATCCTCAGCTTGTCAAATTTCCCATCATTTGATTTGAACAAACAAATGGGGCAATTATCTATCAGCTCAAGGCCAACCTTTTTTAAATAGGCCCATAAAAAATAGAAGTATACCTAGTTTAATTAAGTTAGTGTGTCAGGGACCTCCACGCCATTACCCGCAAATAAAAAGGTGATAAATAACTGAATTAGTAGGTACATAAGCAATTTATTGATTAGACAAGGTTTTTATTCTTAGATATGCTTACACGTGATCTTGTATCATACAACTGCATTTCTGTAGTTGCTTAAGAATTTGGTGGAAAGAAGAAAAAAGGTGAAAGAAATGTTGAAAAATGCGTCCCCACACAATGTTCAGCAGCTTGACATACGACAACAAGCTTTAAAGCTAACGGCAAATAGGTGTGTGCTGTCTCTCCCTTAACCTCTATTGTGCTTCTTCCATTGGTTTCTTGTTGTTTATTAGTTTCAACAAATATCTCCTGCAGCATGTATGGATGCCTGGGATTCTCCAACTCCAGATTCTATGCAAAACCCCTTGCAGAACTTATAACACTACAAGTAAGAAGTCCATATGTTAAAAGGTGAATAATGGCCTTTAATTGGAGATGAAGATGCTATTGGCTAAACTTGCACATTTTGTGCAGGGAAGAGAGATTTTACAGAGCACGGTTGATCTGGTTCAGAATACTCTAAACCTGGAGGTCAGTATATGTACATAATTGCTTTGTTTATGGTATTGGCATGTATTCCTCTCTTTCTACTTGGGGAACTCTGAAGCTAGTCTTCTCTTTTATGAACAGGTTATTTATGGTGACACAGATTCAATAATGATATATAGTGGACTTGATGATATCAAGGAAGTTAAAGAAATAGCGAGGAAGGTCATTCAAGAGGTCTGTTTTGAATCTATATTTTTCATTGTGGGGAATCATTGTATTTCGGTTTCAAGGGGTGAATTTGTATTCTTATCGTATCCTACTAAAATGCAGCTAAAATCATGGTGTTATAATGATTGGTTCATTGAAAAAACATTCAATTGATTTTGGCAGTTTATTGTAATTGAAGTCCACTGAAAATTTAGTTTGGTACGAATGAAGACAAAAAAATTGATGTGCTAAACGCTTGTTCACATTTTTTTGCACTGAGATTAATATTTACGTCCTCTAATTAACATGTCCTATCAGAATGTGATATATCATAGGCTGACCTTTTTTTATAAATATTTTATCTGATAGGTTAACAAGAAATATAAGTGTCTGGAGATTGACCTCGATGGCTTGTACAAGAGAATGCTATTGCTCAAGAAGAAGAAATATGCAGCTGTCAAATTGCATTTTAAGGATCATACATCTTATGAGGTGAAGTCCTATGTTCTTTGCTTATTCTGTTGAACTCGAGTTCTATCTTCTGTGGCATTACCAAATTGAGTTCTCTGCAGGTTATTGAGCGGAAAGGTCTTGATATAGTTCGGCGTGACTGGAGCTTGCTGTCAAAGGAATTGGGAGATTTCTGCCTCAGTCAAATATTATCTGGCGGGTTAGTTTACTTACCTCAAGCATTCTCTAACAGGATTAAGTTAAGTTACTGACTTTGAATTTGCCTCTGTTTAATTGTCTTCTAAAGCTTCTCCGTATTTGCGTCAAATGATTCAGGTCCTGTGAGGATGTTGTTGAAGAAATACATAAGTCTCTCATGAAGGTAGATTTCTGAGCTAGATGTATTTTCTCACATGATGGCAGAATTTAAACTTTTTGTTATCGTTATTTAGTTTTTGGTGTATAATAAATTTAGTATTAGTAGCAGGTAGACATGGTATTATAAATTGAATTGCTGCCTCTTCTGGTAATACATTTAATTTCTAATTACCTCTTAATTTCTTCCCTAGAACTTATATATTTATATTGGTGAATCATAAGATTTTCTGTTAGGAGCCGATACCTGGGTTTGCATTTGATGTCTACAAGAGTTGGCACTTACTTCTTTGGCTGTAGTAGATATGTCCACAGCAAAATTTTACCTTGACTTGTGTTTTTAAGACAAAAATGGTCCGAGGAAGAAGTTTATTGGATCTTCATTGCTTATTATTGATCGAGAAGGAAATTAAGTTTTTCCTTATTTTTATACCAATCAATTAACATACTAAGCTCCATTTCTGGGAGAACAATTTGGTAACGTTTATAACAGAATAGTCATCATCAGTAAATTGCATATAATCAATTGCAGGTTCAAGAGGAAATGAGGAATGGGCAAATACCGCTGGAAAAATATGTGATCACAAAGACGCTCACTAAACCACCTGAAGCATATCCTGATGCGAGATCTCAGCCTCACGTTGAAGTACATGACACAACACAACTCAACACATGATTCAAATATTTAGTATCATCCTTTCTTGTAATAAGTTAGTTCTTCTTATGTGGTTCCTAGGTAGCACTTCGATTGAAGAGGAATGGCTACGTGACTGGTTGTTCTGCTGGAGATACAGTTCCTTATATCATTTGCTGTGAGCAGGTTTGGCGCATTTTTGTTTCATCTCTCTTTGCTTGCCTTTCTTGGTGATGTGGATGTAATTCATATCAGTCTCTTGCAACTCACAACTGTCCCGTAAGACTTGTAGCACACATGACGATTTGTTGTGCATTATTTGTAGGGAAATGGTTCGTCTACATCAGTTGGAATTGCCCAACGGGCAAGACATCCCGATGAACTAAAAAAGGATAATGAGAACTGGATGATTGACATTGACTATTATCTCGCGCAGCAGGTTCGATTGTTTCTAGCCTTTAGTGTAGAAGCTGCTATATTGATTCTTTTATATTATACTCTTTCCTCTTGTTCACTTAGCTCACTAAATGTTATGCAGATTCATCCCGTGATATCACGTCTATGTGCGTCAATTCAGGGTACAAGTCCAGCACGTCTGGCTGATTGTTTGGGGCTTGACTCATCAAAGGTAAATGGCTGATTGTTTCAGGGTTCATATGCATGTTTTTAATCTGGTTATGCCATGCTTTACTGACAGTTGAATCTTAATTTCTCAGTTCCAGAATAAATCTAGTGATCCTGTCAACAACGATCCGTCAAGCTTGCTGGCGTTTACACTAGATGACGAGGAGAGGTATTTATGTCTTTGTTTGAAAATGGTTTGGAGATGCACAGACTGTATCAGCAGACCATATTTGCATCATGATAAAATACTTCCTTCCTATCCCAGTTAATGCTGCATTGTTTTGTGACTACTAGCATTTATTGTAATGCTTCACCGAATAAATGCATTATTATTTAATGTTATGTCTGAATTGCAGATATCGGGGTTGTGAAGCTTTGGTGTTATCATGCCCTGGTTGCTCTGAAACCTTCGAATGCTCGTCTATATTGAGCTCACTACACGCATTGATCAATACAGAAGATAAACAAGCTGGATCGACTAATAACTTCTGGCACAATTTGTGCTGTCCGAAATGTCCAGAGGAAGGAGATGGCGGGAAAATATCTCCTGCTATTATAGCCAATCAGGTACTTTCGCTTTTGGCATCTTGAAAGGGACTACATGTAAAATCGACGTTATCTTGCTCTTTAAACCTTTTCATCTGTCGGTGTATTAAGTTTTAGTCTGGCCAATATATGCAAACCTTCCAGTTGAGACTGCCTTTTTTTTCCCTCCCTTTTTTATCAGGTAAAAAGACAGGCTGAAGGGTTTATGTCAAAATATTACAAGGGCCTGATGACGGTATTTTACTTCAAATACTAATTATATTGCTGCAACTGAATTACAACAAGGATGCAACATATTAATTCCTCACTAAACTTTATTTTCTTACAGTGTGATGACGAAACCTGCAATTACACTACCCGCAGTGTGAATCTTCGAGTACTTGGTGATTCCAAGAGAGGGACCACTTGTCCAAATTATCCCCGCTGTAATGGACATCTCGTAAGAAAGGTTTGTCTCATCCGAACTTTGACTATCCTCTTAACCACCATGTATCAGTTGATAAATTGAAACAACTGAAAATTTTCGTATTTGATTTACTTCCATCAGTACACGGAAGGAGATCTATACAGGCAGCTTGCATATTTCTGCTACACCTTAGATACCGTGCGCTGCATTCCTAAGGTTATATAATTTTTACTTACCCTCAGCTCGTCTGCTATCGGCAGACATTACTGTTTGTAGTGCTTATATGAAAAATAGAGTCGCTGACTTGTATAAATTGCATTCGATTTTTCAGATTGAGGGTGATAAAAAATTGGCCTTGGAGAAAGAAATTGCTAGAATCAGGCCTCGGGTTGAATTGGCAGCATCGACGGTGCAGAAAATCCGCGACAGATGCGCTTATGGATGGGTGCAGCTGAAGGACCTGATTGTTGTAGTTTAGCCTGAAAAGTGGTGTTTTGTATTTTGTACAGAAAATAGATTGTGAGTTCATATTTGGTGTGTCAGCTTTTAAAGAAAAAAGGTTGCTTGTGTAAATATTGAGTGTATAATTTATGCACGGCTTACCCGAACGCGTATTTGCCCGGACAGTTAATTTAATATATAAGAAATTTTGAGGACGTTGCTATTGATTGAACGACGTCGTTTTGGGATCCAGAATATTTTGAAATCCCCAGATCTGATTTTTGAAAGCTATAATTTCTCTTTCGTTCATCAACTTTTATACATCATTTCTCCATTAGTTATGACATTCACAACACAATCACTTAACACTGCATGATTAGAAAATTAAATAAATCATGTCTAATCCACAATCTCGAACGGACCCATAAGAAGGCCACGAGATTTTCAGTATCTTGGAAATATAAAGAGTTATAAACAAATTTTTGTTCCTGCACACATAAAACAAGAATGCAACAAACACATTCGGATGCGAACATGTTGTGCAAATTATGTCTATTAGACAAGTCGGAGCAAAAAAAGGAAAAAGAACTAAAATCTAAGCCCTTTTGGCACAATTGTAAACTTGCACTACTAAAATGAAAACTTATTTTGAGGATCATAAGTTCCGAAGTCTTGTTGCAATGCGCTCATTCCAACTCTCCAACAGGTGCTTCGTTCAGCCACAGGAAGTGTATGAAATCGTATAATTTTGCACTTACGCTTACCTGTCCAGAACATAAATGTCATAAAACACGTATAAAAGCAAATACAATAAGCTATAACTGCCTTCGATGAGGTTGAGTGTACCTTGTACGGTGTTGGGTTCAACCTCCTCATGTGGTCAGGTCGCATTAGGTCCAACTGGTTAATGCACCGTTCTCTGATCAATTTAATCGGTTGCAATTCTTCTCTAACTTTTCCTACATATTTGCATATATCCCCAAAAGAATTAAAAAGTAGGATTAGTAAAAAGTAGGATTTGTACAACGTATATAAGATATAGATACTACCTTCAAAACCCCAAACTCGGAATTTGAGGCATGAAGTGTTTTGTATATGTAGAAGGCTTTTACGAAATACTCGATTATATTTCACAATATTGTTGTTTACGGAAATGAAATATTTAGGCGCTTGATTTTGAATTTTGAAAAATTACAAAAGAAGATCATCCCACCAATTTCCAAGTAGTTTCATAATTGTGTAACGAAAGCATCTGATTTAGACATAATGGGATTTGCTACGATTTAACTATCAAAACAGAGCAAAATTAGAGATAACAAAAGTTGTACCTGATTGACCAGGCCAAAAACACTTCATAAGCTCCTCTACACGTTGTGGCACCACATATGCTCTCTTCGATTCATTAAAAGGATGACGACATAATATTCTCTCACCTACCTATCAGAGAAAATATGAAATCAATTAAAGAAACAAATGATACGAGAATATACAACCAAGGGAAGTAGACAAATTAAATGTACCTTTGGTGGGGGTTCATTTTCGCCTGTCATAATGTCCACAAGAGGATAACCTTCCTTTCCATATAATCTGTAGCTTCTCTTTTTGCATGGAATAGAAACCTTAAAAAAGGAAAAAAAAAAACTCAATCAATCGCTTAATACAATCTTAATATAATATCTACTACAAGGATGAATCAGACCTTTGAAACATCTTCGGAAAGCTTAATACGAGGCTGCTTATTTATTTCGACCAATTTGAAGACGCCACCTAGTGCGGGTTGAGCATAGCACGTAACCAAATGAGTTCCTATTCCAAATGCATCAACTTCGTGTCCCTAACCATACGAAGTTAACAATGCAAAGTATATATATGAGTCTTGAAAATCATAGCATCATTTATGATCAGTTTTTGACTAACTATTGACTTTTTTACCTGTTTGTTTAGAGCATCCAAAGTTTCTTCATTGAGGTCATTACTTGCTGTAATGCTCGTTTTTCCAAATCCGGCAATCTTAAATTCCTTCTCAATACCCTGGAAGAATTTTCGAGTCTCGCACGAGAGATAGGCAAGATCACCTGAGTCAAGTCTAATACCTACTGCTTTATACCTGTAAAAAGAACATTTATAATAATAGGTATCAAAAGAAATATAAATATAAATGATTCAAACGTAAAGGAGTAAGAGTTATGTAAAGCCTTTTTGACGCACCCTAAATCATTTAGAGCCAGAGCAACTGCACAAAAATTAGGAATACCGCTTCTCATAACCTGTTCACATGAATTAAATAACTGATATCAGTGAGAATGGAAAATCAACAAAAATATGGAAATTGAATAATACAGAAGAAATAATTGAAATTTATATGATACATGGAACTCCAGTACTGTATTAAGATTCCAATGCATTAGAAGAGCAACAATTCGATGCTTGTGTTTTCATTATGAAGCCAAATTATCAAGCATTTCTTGAAACTTTAAGGTTTATAGAAGTAGTTGAGGCGATTTCTCCAATAAAATGAGAAATCCTTGAGAAGCAATGAGTATTCCATACATCTTGATCAAAATCATTTAGAAGCAATTATGTAGCTCCCGAAAATGAAGGGTTCTACTTAACATAAATATTATAATCAACGACAGAATCCAACAAGCAATTAGCTATTGTTCACTTACATCATATGTGTCGACGAGGGCCAAAAAGTTCTGGGGAAAGGCGAGTGCATATGAAACAAAAGCAGCTATTTCACTTTGATTTGTTTCCCCAAAAATTCCACCTAATAACTGTGACCGCTGAACATGTTAAAATTTTGAGTCAGTGAACATCATACTAATACTGAATCAGAGACAGATAAGATAAATGGTAAGTAAAATGGTAACGATGAAATTCATTCACACCTTTAATTTGCTTAACCATGACTGCACTGAACTAACAAAATCCTTGCAAACACTTGAGCCATCAGAACTCTTCAGCGACTTCTCAACGATCTCATCAGGGCTCTGCAAAATCACTTTATTGAATGAGATAATTGTTGAAATTATGTTCAGTGGGTAATGTTGATATGTAATTGTCATATATAAAGGCTGAAATTTGAGGGGAAACTAAGTAATATTAATTTCAGACAATTTTAACATACATAATGCATATGCATAATACCTACCATGAATGAGCTGACAAAGGCATGAGAATGTGTTCCACGAAGTGGTATTCCAAACAATTGTCCAGCAGCAACATTGCTGTCGGCACCAGATAACAAAAACATATATGAGACTTATTTACGAAATATTAGGATTAACAATAAGTGAAAATTAAAGTAGAACAAAAAAAAAAATTCACCTTGTTGCATCAAATCCACCCATATAGCAATACTTTGATGCTCCTATACCCCCATCAGGTCCCTGCACGAATACGAGAGAGAACCATTTAGTATTTAATAAAAAAGAGCAATCCTTCAAATGAAATACAGTCGAGAATTTATATGACCTGCGCCCGTCGCAACCCAAATTCAAGAAGAAGTTTCGACTTCCCAGCAACAAAACGATGTCTCGCAGCATTTGTAGCAACCAATGATGCATAATTTACAAGATTTAGAAGTGGCGTTTCAAGCAATTGAACCACCTTAAAAGACAATGACAATTATTAATGAGTAAAAATAAACACTAAAATGAATAATAAATTAATGAAATCAACATGTGGAATGAATACTAGATTTGAGAAATAGTCATTAAAGAGTACTCACAGCTACCGGCCCTTCAACCCTCATCAATGGTATCTTCGGAAATACAACAAATCCTTCAGAAATGGCGTGTATCTCCACATCAGAGCAATCTATTCCCCGGAGGTAGTTATAGAAGCCAATCTAAGTTCAAGCATTGATAAGTTCCAACTTTTATGGATAGTTATAGTATGAAAATCGTAGCTTGGATTAAATAAAACTAAATATCTCTTCCAACATTATGATTATCACATATAAAGGAAGTCTAAAAAGAATTTTGTTTTGATATAACTGACACGTAATCTTTACATACAGTTGGAGCCTTATAGGATTTGTTAGAATCTATGGTTCACGTTTTAATGTAGCTGACACGTAATATTTACATATATATATATAGTTAGAGGATTTGATATACCTCACATGAGGGTGGCAAAGAGGCTTGAATAAAAGCAATCTCATCTTCCGTGAATTTAAAGTTCGCTATCAACTTTATACACTCATCTAGACCGGCAAATACCGTATATTCTCCGCCGAAGGGGTTCTTCCGAAAATACAAGTCAAACCTGTAGGAACATAATATTACAAATAAGAAATTGTTCAAACATTGTTAATCTGTAATTGAGCAAACGATTTATCAAGCAATTTCCCTATTTCAAAACTATATTTATCTATCTTATCTAATGACCTATGACATCTCGAGTGAACTGGAAAGTATTTATCAAATCTTTTAAACCTATGAACAAAACAACCACAACTATCGACCCAAACAAGAATGAGGAAAGATCACCATCATAACTTCCCAAGATAAAACGACCAATAATTTTTCCAAAGTATGCAATCACAAGATTTATATATATTGAGTATTGATTTCTAAATTTATGGACTGTCCGTTTTTTTTCATTGTGGCAGTATACTGTTGCATGTGATCCTGCATGTATCATACTACTTTGCTGAAACTCATTCGATCATTTAATCAATGAAGCAATCGAAACACTTAGTTACAAGAGATGTTGAACTTAGTGTGCTGCTTAGAACAAACATAGATTTCAATCGTAGCCGTTTAAATGCAACTGCTGGAAAAAGCAAAGATGCAGGACTCAAGTTGATGATAGTCCACTCAATTAAAGAAGTAATAAAGGGAGAGATACTCCAAATTGACAAAAATCTGTCTCAACCAACTCTCTAAAAAATATCGCATCCAACAAATTAAAACAATTCGTCAATATGTTTGCTGATGATGAATCAGTCACTCCAATTGCAAGTGATTTAATTCAAATAACATGCTGTGAAACGAAGTACCAAAACCACTAAAAAATAACAAATATTACATTAAAGCGGACAATTTACAAACAACTAGCCATAAATTAAAGTATCAAACCCCAGCTAGTGCACACCTCATCATATATTATATAAAACCGCAGATTTCAAACCAGTCAATAAAATCAGAGAAATCACTCAAATCTTACAAAACAACATGCAATTAATAAACCGATCAAAAAGGAAATTCAATCAAAGGATGGTAAAAAAGGCAGTTACACTGCGCGTTCGTTGTGCTTGCCGGCTTTCCAATAAGCATAGGCCATGGTGAACTGATAGAGATCCGTCAATAGAGGCGTCACCATTGGATTGGTGGGACGGCCGATGCTCCCGCCGCCGCCGCCGCCGCCGCGATTCTCTTCTTTTCCAGGGCCATTCGCCACCACCGGCGCCGCCATTATTTTCTAATATATAAAATAAATACAATTGAATCCTACTCCAATAAAATCACTCCCTACAATTGTGTGCGCGCATCAAAACGACGAGGCCGGATGTAATTAAATCGTTCAAAAAAACGAAGCAATTAATAATTATATGATGTATAATTAATTGTATGTATATATTATATTAAATTCAAGCGAAACTGAAGAAGAAGAAGAAGAAGAAGAAGAAGAGAGTAATGGAGTCCAATGAAAGCAGAGAGATATGGTGCAGAGGGCAAAAACAAAAACTCAGAAAAGTAAATATAACTTTCTGAAACTGAGGAGCCGCAAATAGAGAGAGAAAGAGGAGAGAGAGAGAGAGAGAGAGAGAGAGAGAGAGAGAGTCCGTCCTGCTGGGGTCGCCAAATCTGGTGCACACAAAAAAAAAGGGAAATAAAACAAAAAGATTTTTTTTTAAATATATTAAAAAATGTAAAAAAAAATTATTTAACTAATTAATTCTTGAATTTAACGTTTAAATTTCATTAATTGACCTTAAAAACAAAAATGAAATAATTATCAATAGAGAGTTAGAGACTAATTTATAAACAATGAAAAAAAAATTAGGAATCTAAAAGTAAATTATAATTTGTTATAACATTAAAGAATTAAAAATAAAAGAAAAAAATTTACATATTTGTTAAATATTTTGGTATTCGGTACGGCATACCAGACCGAGTTCCACAAAATATTTATCGAACGAATTACAGTTTGATATTTGGCACGTACCAAATTTTCAGTACGATTTGCTTCGATCAATTTACCAGCCGAGTGAACAACCCTAAATAATAAAGTGTAAGCATATAATTACCTCTCGGAGACTACCAAGGGAGTCGCTTAATTAACACCGTCTATGAAAAACAACCATTGTTGGCATTTGGCTTAAGGTTTGCTAATGACAACATTAAACACTGCAATTACTAATTTTTTATTTTATTTTGTTAATACATTCTTTCGATAAATTTTGCATAAAGCCACAAAGCAAAATATTTCATATAGCCTAGAAATTTTCATATCATCAGATTTGTACTAAATACACATAATACACTACAAAATAACAACCATATATTTTATAGGCATATTTGGACAAAAAAGGTTAGCTTTTAGCAACATAAATTTCCTAGGTGGTAGTAACAAAACATACGAGAAAATCGAACTTTCTCTTTGATGTCTTTTCATACGAAGAAGCTTCGTTTCGTTTCACATATTAAAATGTGACAAAAACATTGGATTATTGACAAAGTTCGATATAAGATTGTCTCCTCCAGCTAAGCACGCTTCGATAGTACTCTCCTTCAATCGGGATTTTCGTGTTTCGATAGGGATAGAAGATATTGCCTTGTGCCCTAAATAATAATAATAAAAATGCAATTCATTACTATATGAATATAATGAAGTTTGATTATATTATATACATATAATGAATCGTACCAATCAAACTCCTTTCAATATAATCCTGGTTCGGCGAATGACGAGGCATCACCTTCTCCTGCGGAATTCATACATGTACAACATTATTCATTTTTTGAAAAAAATAATAATAATAATAATAATAATAAAACTTACTATAGAAGATGTGGTGGAGATCAGATCCAAGGGTCCAAAATGATTCTGCTGGGAGGAATATTCCAGTTTAAACGAAGATTTCGGACCAATCGTAGCCGAGAAATCCTGCTTAACGCAATTTTCTTTCGATACATTCGTATTTAAGAATTTATCGCTCGTGTCGAAAATATCCATTCTCATGTGAGAAGTTTGGCTGTGCTGCTGCTGCTGCAGCATCTCAGGCAAGCAAATTGGATATAGGCTTAATCCATTCCTCATAGTTAACATCTACACATTAGTTTAATCATGATTAAGACATAATTAATATTTATTTAGGTTAATAAACCTTGCATTAAAAGCAAACAAATGTTCATTTAGCAATTGATTAATTAGAGTACAAAATTGCAATTATCACCTGCACTTGTAGCTGGAGTTGCTTGAGGTACTCGATAGCTTCGTCGAGCATCGAAGCCTTATCGGTCTAGCGAAAATTAAAATTAATTTATTATATATCACCCTAGATACAATAAAAAAAAAATCACAATTTTTTTCTTTAATTTACCTTGTTTGAATTAGGGATAAGATTTTGCAAAGCCTTCATTTTCTCATTAATCCTGCTCCTCCTCCTCTGTGAAGAATTAATTAAATTTAATTTAAGAGTAATTATTAATATAGATAAAAATGCTTAAACCTAATTAGGACAAATTAAAGTGATTAAGGATTAATGAGGAGAGAGAAAAAAAGAAAAACCTTTTCAGAGAGGTTGTGAACTTCAGCTGCTCTGCTACGTTTGGAAGAAGTGCGTGATGAAGATGTTTGTTTTGGAATTGTTTCTTCAACCAATGCTTCTACATTTTCCTACACACAATCAACGTGAAATTACACACACACACACACAATTATTTCAAAATTTTTTTACAGAGAATTTAAGAAATTACAATCATGTATGTACCTCGCTTTCATACTCGTACTCGTCTGGTTCGTTATCGAAGTTCCCGACGGAAGAAGAAGACACATTCGCCGCCGCCGCGAAGCTACAGCCTGAAGCCGGGTCGGGTGCATGGATCTGACCCGGATCCGGATACGGAACCGGTGCCGGTGCGGGTGCTTGATTCTCCGTCAGAAGATGATCGTTATCAGCGGCGAAAAACTGGCGGCGCATGAGAGAAGAAGACGACGGCGACGAAGAAGAAGAAGAAGAGCGGAGGAGAATTTGCTGGAGGAAAAGAGAGATTTCATCGGGCTCCGGCGGAGGAGGAGGAGATGGAGAGTAGTTGGTGGCGGTGGCGGTGGTGGTGGTGGTGTTGTACAGATTCGCCATTGGGAATACTTTTTGGGGGCAGAAAGAGGAATAAGAAAAAAAGGGGGTTCTACTTTGTACTTTGGCGAAAAGAAAGAAGAGAGAAAACCCAATTCAACACTCTTTCTGGTTTTTTTCTGGCAGAGCTGTCTGAATAATAAAGCTCGGCTTTTGAGGTACGGAGGCGCGTGTGTTTGGGTTTATTTGTTTTTATGACCTCAAAAAAAGACTGCAAAAAGAAAATTGTGGGCGGGGGGAAACGGAGTTTAAAACTGCCGATTATGACGTGGAATTTAATGCTCACCCGTAATATTATATATTATTATTACATTCTGTTTTTTTTTTAATGAATTTTATTATTATTACATGATTTATTATGAAAAAGAAGAAGAAAGGAGAATGAGTAACGAGACATGGTTATGTCTGGGGAGTAATTAATTAGGGTTAGGATATAAAGTGTTTGACTGGTCTTCTCTCTGTCAACTCAAAGAATGTACAGTGATGAAGCACTATCAACATTTATGTTGCTCTGCCTTTTTCCCCCTTTTATCATTTATTTCTGTTTTCTCCTTTTTTTCTAAAATAAATAGGGTAAATATATTACGGTTACCCAATATATAAGGTCAAAGTATGAAAAAATTATCTTAAGTTTATATAATTACAATATATTTTTCAACTATGAATTTTCTTAAAAAAATACAATTTATGATGCACCACAATTTGAGAGTTAGTTACTAGTCAAGGAGACAAATCTTACCATCATTTTGTTTCAAATGAATAAAACGAGTACAAATTGAAGAATATTCGACATAATCTAGAATATTTCACTAAATTTGATCACCACGTGAATGAACGTTTAAGAAGATGTCATAGTTACAAGGTGATCCCAATTATCCAAACATAATGGTATTTTCGTAATTTCACACGATCTTAGAAGGGTGGCCGTAATATACACGATTCATTTCAAATTATCAACCTTAAGAGAAAAAATAAATCAAACATCTACCACCAAATTAAGAATCGAAGTTAGTTTATTATTATTATTATTATTATTATTATTATTATTATTATAAAAAATAACAATAATAATAATTAATATTATTATTATTATTTGAACATACAGTATGCTGTATACTGTAACAATAAGATAATTAATAGTTAATAGAGTCAGTCAGGCGTGCAAGTATACCCACATTCTCATTGTCTTCAAAATCGTGCCATTAATTTTTTGATTAATATAATCTGCAGTCAGCAAAAAATAAAAAAGGAAAAAAAGACCACCTTTTCAACTCGGATCCAAACGTAGGATACGTCCACGTTTCGTATTGTGATTGGCTGATAAAGTAACGCATATGTAAATAATCAGGGGACCACTGGATCGCGTCACACATCGACGAACACGGCAAGAAAACTAGGTAGAGTCTACGATTGTAATAATGGACGTGTTAGTAGGGTAACACAGCCTATATTGCGCGCTCGAGATGTGTGGCTTTGGACCACGCTATTATTTTGATCCGACGGCTTGGGATGAATTTGCTTGTCTATTTGATTTGTACTAGCTTGATTTGATTAAGTGGTAGGAAAATGAGGAAAAAACTTTTTTCATTTCCAATGATGGGTTGGGGTCCTTTTTGTGTAATAGAATAATAAATCAAAAAATCAAATATATATATATATATATATATATATGTATATATACCTGTTCCACAATATCTGTCTCTTGTACGAATTTTTTTTGTTCTATATTATCTGTCACTTTACAATTTTAATGCAGTATTAATTACATATTTTTCAATTATACCCTTATTAATTCTCCAACACTCTTTCTGCATTAATTAGTAAACAATGGTATTTTGGTCTATTTATATCTATATTCCTAAAATCAAGACTTATTTATTGAAATTCTTAAGACTCGTGCCAAGGTGAAAAACGACACATATTGAGGAACGGAGGGAGTATGTTACATCAGCCATCAAGTATTAAAATGGTGAATTATTAATGCGGTATTTCTAATTATGTAAAATAAACTAATAAAAATAAAATATAAGTTGACATGTAATACAGTACATAATTGAAGAAGGTAATTATAATTAATTAATTATCCAAACAAAAGGGATGTTCTTCGTAATTTGACATTATCTATGGAGGTGAGCGTAATTTGCCTATTTAGTTATAAATATTGCAAGAAAAGAAATCTATCACTTGCCGAAAAAAAAAATTCAAACTATTCTCTTACATAATGCAATTCCTGATGTGAAACATGATGCTTCATATAATTAGACCAAATAAATAAACCTTAAAAAAAAAACAAGAGTGCAATAATACTGCATCTGAATTCTGCAGTTTGTTTTCCTACTGTTTCCATCAGAGCAACACTTTGGACTGCCAAGAGAATGCATCTGAATTCAGCACTTGCTTTCTTACACTCTGAGTGTAATGATCCAAGGTCAATGCCTGTTCGTCGATGTTATCGGTGGACCCCGCATCCTCTGCCAACTTCACCGCTGCAATTTGGTGCAGTTGGAACTTCTCTGCAGTTCTTTGCAGTTTCCTAGCAGTGTCTTCCTCACCGAGCATCAGCAGAGAAATCAACAGAGATTTAAGCTCGATTTTGCCTCCTTCAGACAGAGACATACCCTTCAAATGATCTACTAGTGCCGCCTCCTCATCAGCACTGTGCTCGCAAGAAAACGAATTGGGCGACACATCAGAATATAATAGTAAAGGGATTTTATATACATAATATATATTTAAGGTGACGGAATTAATAATATACCTTCCGGCTCTAATTTTCCCTCTGTTTCTTTGACGACCCCTACCCCTTGTGGACGTGCTTAAGGTGGTAGAAGCACTCGAACCTCTTCTTGTTCTGCTCATGAAAATAAGCAACACGAGACAGTTAATAAACAATGAAATCAAACTAAACTTTCTGTAGCAGTTTCCTCACTAAAATCCGAGGCTATACACCTCAAAACGAAGGTCCAAGCAAAGGCTTAGAAGAAAAATGAAAACGGACTGAAGATATTTTGGAGGCCAATGGTATTTCCCGAGCAATTGTTCAAGATATTGCTGAAAAAAGTAAAATTTAATCACATATTCGTAGCATAGAATATGTGATTACAATTTAATCAACGTGGGAAGCAATCACTAACAGAAATTTCAATTAAAAAAGAGAGCCTACGGATGCGAAATATAGCGCCTAAAGTAGGAGGAGCATAGATATAAAAATTGCAGCCGCACAAAAGAAATGACAAACAATACTAACAAAGGTCAATTTCTAGAAGAGCAAACATAAGTCAGAATTTGTGTAACAAGAGCTAATATAAACTTACCCTGTGGTGTATGCACTCATCCCACTAAAATTACTGCTGGCTTGTGAAGCAGTTTCATCATCAGGATAGCCCAAAGATAGCTCATCCGATTTAATTTTTGCAGCAAGTAATAATCTCCTTTGTCGAATTGCCAGATATCGGGTCAAGTACTTGCCAACTTTCTCCATCCCTTCATTGTACTCTCCAACAAGCAAGGTTGCACACTCTAACGAGGCGTTCTTCACCACTAAAATCAAATCATCTCTCCTGTGCAAGAAACCAACCCTCAGTGCCTCTTCCCAATTCCTTGCATCGACCAAAAGGCTAACTCCACCGTCCACATCACCACAATACTCCAAGAGTATCTTCGAAGCATCTCCTGGTTTACCGAGTGCCTGAAGTTCCTCGGATAGCTCACGCGCCAGCTGTAACACATCGTCCTTCCCAAGCTTCATAAATCCAGCAACTGTCAGAACGCCCATCCAATTACCACAGGAACGGTAAGACTTTAATGCCTTGTCCAAACAGAAGCAGCACAGAAAAGTGGTAGCAGCATCTTCGAAGCATTTAGTGGCATCAAGATGATCTCCCCAAGCTTCAAGAACTTGTTGTCTCTTACGCGAATCACCACCGACCAACTGGAGCCCTAACGGATAAAGTTCCGGAACTTTCTTCATCAGGTTCGTAAAATCTTCGTAATAAGAGTCTCCAGCTGAAGCAATGTGCCTCAAAGCACTTTCATACCTTTCTAATTTGAGATCGATATTGTACTGCATTAAAAGTGGTGGCATGCGTTCCAGTTCTTGAAGAAGTGGCAGAAACTCTTTCGGATCACGTTGTGAATTTAATGCAACAATAGCGGCGAGGCTCAAATCATAAAGGCCTAGAGCAGCTTCGAAAACTGCCTCGGTATCAGAAAGCCATAACAGATGCTTCAAAGATTCCTCGGACGAAGGATACGACTTTCGCCGTGGATCTGTAGCTGCCGACAGCTCCATCTCTCGAATAACCTTAATTCTTTTCAAAGCGTCTTCGAGAACTGGTGGGCTACTTTTGGCTAACGTTGTCAGGATGCAAAGCTCCCTTGCAGGAGTTTCCTCAATTTGCTCCTCGAGAGCCTTTCGTATAGACAAGAGTACAGAGTATACTTTCTTATCACCGTCAATAATAGTCTTTGAACTTTTATCGCCGTTTATGCAAGGCAAAGACACGTAGTTTTTATAAAGTGTCTCCATAATATCTTCGTGTTTAATGGCGCAAATAAACTCGGTTATGTAGCTCAGATTGTTGACCTGTCTGACAAAGTCTGCAGCTGACTCCACAAAGGCTTCCCAACCACGATGGTCAATGATGACATTGAAATCAATCCTATGTCTCCGTACCATAAGCAAGGCATCTCTAAATCGCCCTTGAGCCAGAGCATTGAAGATCGAAGCAAGGACTAATTTTCTCGGATAGACACATTCGAGGTTTCCACGAGGTGTTTGTAGTATTACAGCAGACTCGTCTCCATGGAGAACACCAATAATCTGTGCCCCTTTTTCCCACAAATGAACGAAAACATTTTCGTTCTCCCCCGTTTTTTTCCTTACTACAACAGGAAGGAAATTCCCGTACTTCTGTTCCAGTTGTCCATGCACAATGTCACCAACATCAACAATAAACAGGTAATCTTGTTTGGTGGTAATAACCAAATGTGTCATCATCCCTTCACCAGAATTTGAGTAGAATGAAAAAGTACTGCAGTTGTTGCACAATACCCTTCTCTCAAAATGCAGTCTCCCATTATCGTCAAGCCCAAAAAGCAACGGTTTCTCTCCAACTAGGGCAGCATCCATCCATGGGCAAGATGATAGGAAAGCCATGTCATCACATCTCTGAAGACCACCCAACTTTGACGTGTACTCAAACATTTTTCCACCGTCAAACTGAACAAATGCAGAACGACTTATAAGTTGGTTAGGAGCTATACCAATAACCACTCCTTCAAGAGAAATCTGATGAGAAGTTTCCGCATGCCACCCTGCGCATATCACTGAACCTGGGCTGCGATAGTCAGAACAACTTATTTCAATTTCATGGAGGTAATATCCTGTGCGCACATCCTCGTCAAAATGAGAAACACCAAGAATCACTTGTGAGTCCAACCAAGAAAGATGTAACAAAGGCCCGTACTCTGTACCAGAATATGAAGCCTCGATTTTAAACGTCTGACCTTCGAGATCATCCCATTGGTCAAGAGGAGGAAGCTCCACTATACACAAACTACCGTCTGAAAGAGATGCAGCTAAATGATTTTGGGAGATTTTAGAAGAGAAAGCCATATCCCGAACCGCACTGGGAAATTCTAATTTTAAAAAGTACATTGGAGGTGGCATCAAGGATAAGGAAAAAGGGGTAACGAGCACTTTCGAGGCATCAACGACAAATGCTATTGAGTTGTCGGTGACAGCTGTCACCCAGACAAACTTGTAAGATACAACTCGACCATCAAGAGTCCAACACATCAACTTTAAGGGGTTTGTCAGGTCCCACATAAATTTTATTCCATCCTCTTTTAAATATCTGATCTCTTGCTTTAAGTACCAATGGTTATTACTGAAGTACCATATCTTAAGGGTGTCGAATGTCTCGCCTCTGACAACAGCAGCAAGAAGATCCGAGTTACAATTGAACTTGAGAACTTCTATTGTCACATCTATTGCCTCGTTGATACTGAATGAGCTTCGCTCTAGGCCATTTTTCTCAAATAAAGTTACAGATGGACATTGCTTAACTTCCTTTCGATCATAGACAAGAGCAATTTTAGCTCCGCTTTGTGTCCAGTCCAGAACTGATCCCATGAAGGGCTTCGATTCTGAGACGGAGTGGAGTGCGCCGGAATCACGCTCCCAAACTTTAAGCTTCTTGTGCAAGGGAAAGGAAGCATTCACCATGCTTAATGATGCAAAGAATTTTCCATCACCTCTCCATGAAATGGAGGCATCTGATGAATGATCACCAGAAAGTGCTGATTCATCTGAAACACGGTCGAATAGAACATTTTTATTGAAGTAAACAAAAAGGACATAATTCATTTTCTATTATAACATCGAAACATATGAACATTGAAATTATATTTCTTCAGGAAAGATTTCAATTATTTTACGGAAAGGAACAATTCGTTATATGTATCCAGTCCCAATTAATGCTAATACTTGTCTACCATACAATGTGGGAAGGAAGAAAATCGTCATATAAGCCAAAAATCATTGCATTTGCTACTGTTGGAAGCCAAGTAAGAAAAGATTGAAGACTGTAATTACAGAAACCTGGTGAACTATAAGTTTTCAGCCCTTTGAAGTACGTGGCCGCTTTCTCATTCAAGTAAATGTTGTGCTACAGCTCACTCTCATCATCTCAAACTTCTTCTACTCTAGTCCATTCCCAGGTCAAATCACCAGTTTTTTTGCCACTACAAACTCATCATATATTGTACTTTTAGTGAGTGAATCATGCAGTATTTACTAAAACCAATTCAAGTCACAATTTCTTATTATCGTTAGACGTAAGCATGCAACACTGAACTTCAAATAAGTGAGTTTAGAACTACGTATCGATAATTTTCTTTCAGGGTCATGTAAAGAGCAAAAGTAGAACACAAGTCATCAAGAAAAACATCAAAGGCAACCTAAAGAAATTTATAAATGGACGAATATGGCAACAAGTCCTTACGTACGTCTACATCTTCAGGCAAATCATCAAGCGGCATCTCGTATAATAGATCCCAATCAAGATTCATAACTAGTATCTGCCCAAAACCAGTGATCAAAGCAAGCAGGTCTCCATCGGGACTTGGTGCAATGAACCTAACGCCACCTTCAACCCGACCCACAATCTCTGTTGCATTATCGTCCACAGAATAAAGTAAGAGAAGTCCATTCGAAGTTCCAATGATCAAGGCCTCCTTTTCCATAATATATTCCAAACAAGTAATGGAATCTCCATCGTCTAAATCAATCAGCTGAGCTGTAGCAGGCAACAAACCCTTATTCCATGCTCCTTCAATCTGGTAATAAAAGGAGATTTCTCAAACTAAATAAAGCAGTAGAGGAAGAACATAAAACGAGCACGTTGTAAAAAAACATATCGACATTTTCTGAGTTCAATCCGATATTTTCATCGTGCAATCAAATTCATCAAGCACCAAATCTTGCATTTTTCAACAGTTGCTTTCTCTATAATCTTCCATCAAGCAAAAACAACGCATTACCACCCATCAGGTAAATGATTAGATACGACATATTTTATTAACGAAATTAATACTACCAAATTATGATAAAATAAAACAAATAAAATAAAACAAAAAACATGAGATAATTGGACGCGGAAATGGCAAAGGAGAAGAGTAGAAATGTGTTACTTGAGGCGAAGAAAGTTGAGCGGCGTATACAAAGCCGGCGGAGGAAGCAAAGAAGAGGCGGCTGCGCTCAATGTCCACCGCACACAACCGGAGGACTTCTTCTCCCTTGTCCGCTTGCAACTCCAACCTCGACCAAACTTCCGACGACAACTTCAGGTTGTTCATGTTGGACCGCCGAGAATGAAATTGGATGGGTTTTCCGTCGTGGTTTCCTTAAAAAAAGGGCAGCCGAACGGTTGCCGGAAAGAGAGAGAGAGAGAGTGAGGCGGGAGCAGAGTAGGTTTCTTATAATTAGGGTTTGTTTTTCAAAATACTCCCATATAGAAAATTGGATAAATTCCACTTTCCCACATTTACTTTGGCTTGATATCAGTTTAGCCCCTCCTACTCTCGATTACATCGATTTATCCCCCTATACTTGAAAATTTATGTCAATGTGGTCCTCGTTGTTAGTTTTATGACATTTGACCTTAACACCGTTTGACCTCAATCTGAAAATTATAAAAAAGTCACCCCTCTTAGTTTAAATAATTATTAAAAATATTAAAAAAAATAAATAAATAAATTGTGGCTGGCGTTGTGCACTATGCTTTCTCGTCGTCTTGAATTTTTTTTTTTATTGTTTTTCTTTAAACTTTTTTTTAAATAATTATTTAAATTGGGAGAGGTGGCGTTTTGGTAATTTTAGAGCTTAGATCAAACGGTGTTAAGGTCAAGTTTCCGACAACTAACAGCGAGGGCCGCATTGAGACGATTTTTTAAGTGCAGGGGCAAATCGATGCAATCGAGAGTAGAATGAAGTATAGTGATACCGAGTCGAAGTACAAAGGGAAAATTGGAATTTACCCTAGGAAAAAAAACAAATGAAGGAAGAAAATTATAAATTATGAAATATGTAAAGAGATGAAAGTAAAAAATATTATTCTCATAAATTAAATTTAATTATTTTTTTGATAATTAAAATTTTATCGTGGGCTCAAGCCCGCCCTTACCAAAAATTGGCTCCGTCACCGGTAACAAGTAACCAACTGATTGTTAAGATTACAAAACGTATATAAAGTTATTAAAATTGCTTGAGCTTGGTTTATAAACAAGGGGTCTTAAGATATAAGTCCCTGGTGACAAACCTTATTAGAACTAAATGACAACTCTAATTAAAATTTGCTTCATATCCTTTATGAAATTTATTCCAAAAATGCCCCTCTACTCACAAATTCGAAATTACAGCAGATTGTAAATATACTATGATGAACTATGGTATTATTTAATATTTTTAAATTTACATCTAGCATTTTTTTTTTCATTTTTACGTGTTTTTCCTTTTTCTTTTTTCATTTCTCATATTTTTCAATTATATAAAAATCTATTTTTTCCCCTTCTTTTCTACATAAATTGAAAATTATGGTATTTTTAATTTTTTTTCCGTAGTAGACATCTACAAAAACCCATAGGAAACGTAGTAATCCGTAGACACCCACAGACATCTTGAAACCCTAGCCATGAAACCCTAGCCGTCAGACACCGTAGACACCCAAAGACACTCATAGACATCTGTAGACATCCAAATCGAAAAATATTAAATTTTCCCCACCAAACCCTAGATCCGACCCGCCGCCACCACCACCACCGCCACTACTCCCCCCTCTCGCTCCCCCACACCCAGACCCACCTCACGACTCATCCGTAATGGTTGCAAACAAAAACGAGTATGCCATCCTCTACCCAGTGCCACAAAGCCTCCAGATGCAACTCCTACATCAAGTGCCGCCACAGTCGCTGCCATAGCCGCCTCCATAGCCACCGCCGCCGCCATCATAACCACCTTCAGAGCCTCTATATTGTTCCACTATAATTGAAGAGAAAAAAGAAAAGAGGGGGAGGAGGACGTGAGAGAGGGATAGAAGAGAGAGAGAGAAAGAGAGAGTGCAGAAAGTGAGAGGGAGAGAACGTGCGGCGTGAGAGAGAGGGGAAGAGAGAGAGAAATAAATCAGAAAAAAGAAGACGTGACTTTTATTAGGTATTGTAAGGGTATTTTTGGGTTATTTAAAAATCAAAGGATGTGTATCAATTTTTATATTGAAATAGGGATGTAGGTAAAATATTCTATTTGAGTTTGTCACTTATATCTATTTAAGTTTGGTTTGAGGGGTGTGGAGCATATTACCCCTATAAACAATCGGACTTGAACAAACTTGGATCAAGCCAACTATGAATCGAGACCGACTAACTTAACTTTTTGTACATAAATTATATTTTTTTACTCAAACTCGACGACCTTTATAGCTTGTCGAACAAAAAAAAATTGTTCGAACTTTCTTCATTATATTAATAAAATTAGTGAATAACCTCAAATCGAATATCAAGAAACTTGATTTAATTTCCGATCTTACCCTCGGAGTGATAGTCAACAATCCTAGACTAATTACAAAGAAACCAAAACCATTTATGTAATTGATCTTAATTAATCAAAATTTTGTGCCAGCTATTCTAAATAATGGTTGTTAGAAACTCAAATCAACTTCTATTCATCCCGCAAACAATTGATCCAGAATGTGGAAACGTTGCTATTTATATAATATATATATATATATATATATATATATGGGAAATGAGGGATAACCCCCTAGTTTTTAAAATATATATGCATAGGTCCTATGGATTTTTCTTTCCTAGTCAAAAACCCAAAATCTAATCTTAATTAGTGAGACCCCCCTGAGCAACTTGAAATACCTAATTTACCCTTTTAATTTTTCAATTTCAAACCCTAGTTTCTCTCCCACTCATTAGCCGTTACATCTCTCCCCCCTCTCTCTAACTCTCTCTCTAACTCTCTCTCTAACTCTCTCTCTATCCACCAGTCATACGAGCACCTCTGCTCCTCTCCCAACTTGCGCCGCCCGCAGTCGCTGCTCCTTCTACCGCCGCCGCCGACGTTGCTTCTTTCGTCGTCGCCTACCGCTACTTCTCCCTCCGCCGTCGCCCGCCGCTACTGCTCCCCTGCTGCCGCTGCTCCCGACACCGAGAACGGAGCCGCTGCTCCCTCCACCGCCGCCCGCAGCCGCTGGTCTCTCGCCGCCAGTATATATAGATCCGGTATATATATATATATATATATATATATATATATATATATATATATATATATATATATATTCATACAGATCTGTATATATATATATTCATACAGATTATATACATATTATATATATTTATACAATTCGTACAGATCAGGTTATATATATATATATTTGTGTGCGTGTGTGTGTGTATTTGGGTTTATCTAAGTGACTGCTAAAGCTGATTATATTTGGATATTATTTTTTTTTTTTTTTTGAGTAATATTTGAATATTATAATTGTTCTTATCTTCTAATCCAGATAGAAAACAATGGAGCTAATTCAGTATCGGAAATTTTGCTACCATTCCCTGAACATCAAGCAAATAACTTTGCTTTCCTTTCAGCCAAAATCAGTGAAGGAAATATATACAAATTTGTTGATGTTGCACGGGATCCGTAATTCGACGACGATTTGTATTTCCGGAGAAGAATAGGATATGTATTCCGGCCGCAATCGATGAACATAATCAATATTTCAATGTATTCCGCCGCACGAGTCTCTAATCTGTATGAGGTAATTTGTTGTAAATTTTTATTGTTTCATGGATTGATGTTGGACACTTGTATTAAGTTCGAACTATGTGAAAAAATTAGAACTGATGATTTACGCAATTGTTTAGGTATCTTTTTTGTGTAATAAAATGAGTTGCTTGATGAATTGTTTTTCTTGAATTGGGTGGCGGAGTAGAATGTGGTGGGAGGTTATACTTTTTTTGGTTTGTATATATTTACTGCATTTATTAAGATGAAAATTACCTAGTCATATATAGTCACATGTAGTAACAAGAAGTAACATAACTACATGTGACTATACGTGACTATATAGTCACATGTAGTCATATATAGTCACATGTTGTAACAAGAAGGAACATAACTACATGTGACTATATATTGTTTAGAAGTGCTTCGATTAATTTTATGATGCATAAATTATTAGGTATTGCAGCGTTCATTTAATTTTACTCGTGAATTAGAATCCAAGGAAAGTGATGGTGTAAGTAGCTCAGACAATGATGATGATTTAAGCCATGTGATTAAGTTTAAGATTTCGGACTTCAATGTTCATGATCGTGTTAGCATTGGCCTTGGGGATAGGGTAAGTAGCAGTTTATTGGCTTCTCTTGCTATTTATGTTGTAAGATTGAGTTCATAAAGTTTCATGTTGCTATGATCTGACTGTGTTCATTGTGTTTTTGTTGAGTTGTAATGCAGGGTGATGAAATTGTATATGAAGCTACAGTGAATGAAGCTAGTAGGTTTGTTTTGATTTACGGCATTCGTTTCAGGATTTTATCAACCGAAGTATCATGAAGAGAAATAGAAATTCAATAATGCTCTCTTTCTAGTAATGCAGTCCAATGTTCAATAAGAAATTTGTGCTTCGGCGACTGGTTAGCAATCAGGTGCAGCGTAGGGGAAGAAGGGCAATAGAGGTATGCTAAGTTGACACATTAGTAAGTTTTTTGAAAATGATGATATATTGTCCGACTTTGATGTCTTCTTGGTGAAATTACATTCAGGTATTGAAAAGACTGGCTCACTATAGAGTAATGTACCATTTTTACTCGGTTCAAGTTCATGGCTATATATGTTCATCCACAAATGATAACAGTGGTTAATTTACTCTAGTACATGGTGTAAGTTTCTCTTTCTCAAAAAGTCAATCTAGAGAGGTGCTCCCGTTTTCATTTATTCTGTTAGTTAATGTGCTAATGATTTCATATTTCCAAGATGATTGAGGGTCTGAATTATTTTTATGTTCAGTATCATGGCAATTCTTCTTTGAGACATTGGCTTCAACAAGCAGATTGGCTACCAACTCTAGAAGCTACTCTCGTGTTGGATGAGGAGTCTGTCAGGCGAGTCGGTGATGATACAGTGGGAGGACCGGCAGTTTCTCGACAATTACGTCTTATTCGAAACTTGGCTGTACTTGTTTCAGTGTAGGAGATATTTGCGTTATCAAGTCATATATAGTCACACGTGGTCATATACATATAGTCATATATAGTCACGTGTAGTCATATACATGTAGTCATACATAGTCACGTGTAGTCATATACATGTAGTCATATATAGTCACGTGTAGTCATATACATGTAGTCATATATAGTCACGTGTAGTCATATACATATAGTCATATATAGTCATGTGTAGTCATATACATGTAGTCATATATAGTCACGTGTAGTAACTCGTAGTAATATATTGTTATATATAAGCTATATAAGTTATGTGTTTTTTCTGATGTATAGTGATGTTGATGATTGTGTTTTTCCAATTTTTTGTTGGGTATTAATTGATTTATAATATCAAGATTAAATTGTGAATTTTTGTTTTTTGTGTAGATGAAGTTTTTTTTATATAATCATATGTAATATATATACAATAGTCATGTGTAGTCAATTTCAATACAGTAAATTTATCAAAAAATTGAAACAAAATTAAAAATTAAAAATTAAAAAAATTAAAAATTTTAAAAAATTAAAAAAATTAAAAATTACAAAAAATTAAACAATTTTAAAAAATTAAAAAAATTAAAAAAATTAAAAAAATTAAAAATACAACAGAGGTATATATAAAAAATAATAATAAAATAAACATTTATAATTTTTTATTAAAAAAATCTGATAATATGATAAATGCAGGTCTAAATGTTAATTGCAGTTAACCATAATGCTGAATGCAGTTAGTAAAAATACTGAATGCAGTTGGGCAAAAATTAGATATAAGGGCACAATAGTACTTTTGCCTATCCAGGGGGTTATCTCAAAGAAAGAATTTTAGGGGTGGACCTATCCCTATATATTTTCCATATTAAGGGTGTATATCAAATGGACCCATATATATATATATATATATATATATATATATATATATCAAGATTTAGAATTTTTCAATCCTAGTCAATCATGAATGACAACAGATTATTTTTTGTCAAGTGAATAGGTAATAATGTAAGATTGGGTAATTGACACTTTGCACCCTCCAAATGTAGCCACTTGGCACATTGCACCCTTAAAATTATAAAAATGGCATTTTGCACCATCTAATTACCACTAGCTTGGCAGAGTGCACCCTTAATATCTTTCCGGCGCGGATTGCACAGGATATCCCATTTTTGTAGCGTACAACAATGCATATCTGTTTGGGTTTTGATTATTTACTTTCCAAGTGACCTTTCATTTATTGCAAAAATCTGCACCAACACAATCTCCGCACAAGTTACCATCGATTTCAACTATTATACGAGCTATCTCAAACTTTTGCTTTCAGAATGCAGTCCAAGTACCCAACATAACCCAAAGATGACAAAGTCTTAAAGTTGTCAAATTCACCAAGATTACGTTTTTATTGTTTTTCTTCAACTTATCGCACTCGAGCTGACTATGAATTTTACTCTTTTAATCAACTAGTTGAGAATCGACACTTCTAGAAAAAAAGGGCTAAAAATAAATCTTGCAAAGTAGGTAGAAGAATGGATTATTTTGTGATAAGCGGTAAAAGAATAGACAAACGATGGCAATCAATCCGCCAATGTAGTTGTAATTGGAGGGTGCAAATTGGCATTTTTTTATAATTTAAGGGTGAAATATGCCAAATGTGTATATTTGAAGGGTGTAAAGTGTCAATTACCCGCATAAGATTCTCCATAAAATGGATAAGAAAAAAAAAGAAAAAAGAAAATAGTTTTAGATTCAAGAAAAAAAAGCAGAGAAATGGCAAAAGAATGACGACAGTATGACCACAGTTACAATTCTCCAATTATTAATGACTTTCTCTTGTCTTTATCTGCATTTTCCTCTGTTTGAAAGCGCCATAACCACCCCCCACCCCACCCCCCCCCACCCCCGGTTCAAATAAATACCAGGAAAAAAATCTAGAGAAATCTTCTTCTTCTTGTTCTTGTTCTTCCCCCCTTTTACTTTGCGAATTTCCATCTAAAAACTGTTGTGTACCGATTGTTGAAATTATGAGGGAAGGAGATGAAGAAGCCGATATTGGTCGGCTGCCAATTGATTTGTTGGCCCATATTTTCTCTCTCTTTGCTTCTTTCAAAGACTTGGCTCAGTCAGTTTCATCAATTCATTTCAATTCATTTTTTTTTTCATTTTCTGGGTTCGATTCTTGTATGTATTTATATGTGTGTGTGTGTGTGTTTGCAGGGCGAGCAGTGTGTGTAGAAAATGGAGGCAAGGAGTGAAGGAGTCTCTTGCTCGGAGAGAAAGCCTCAGTTTTTCCGGTTGGAAAATGGATGACGAGTCCACTGCACGCCTCGTCCTATTGGCTTACAGCCTCAAAGACCTCGACATGTAATTTTTCCCTTTTTCATTTTATATATATATATATATGTGTGTGTGTGTGTGTGTGTGTGTGTGTGAATATTTAGGAGGTTTAGATAGTTGAAAATTGATGTTCTTGACTTTCTCTTTATATAGTTTCCAATGGTCGAAATCTGAAATTAGTTCTAAAAACGAGGTTTCGAATTCGATGTTGCTAAATGAACGAAAAGTTTGGACTAAAGATACTATGATTCATTCATTCATTAATTACCAAGGTTTCGAAATCTCGTAATCCGTGCATTAATACTAATATATTGAGAAGACAAAGTAGAGAGAACAAGCATATACGGGGAACGCCTCGAGATTTATTGATTTATCGATCTTATTGTCTAGTTTATGTGATATTGATTTTGCCATATATATATATATATATGTAACATACAGATCAAGAAGCCGTTGGGGCTGCCAAATAACCGATAATGGATTGAACCAATTATCCACTGCCAAATGTATTGCCAATCTATCTTCCGTTTCTATGTGGGGTTCCACCGGAATTACAGACAAAGGTGTTATTCAACTGGTATGTGCGTCTGTTTATCAAAAACAAAATCGCGTCAAACTATAGTTTTGCCTTATCAATCTCGATTTTTACGCATCGAACTTTCTCCTAATACAGATTTCGAGAGCGACTTCACTTCAACACCTGAACATTGGCGGTACGTTTATCACAGACGCATCACTCTTTGCAATTGCAGATAGTTGCCCTCATCTCAAGGTAATGAATGATGCATTGTTTGTACTTTCTTTCGATCAATGATCGTACGTATTTGTTAATTTTTTTTTTTTGTTTGTGCAGAATATAATTTTATGGGGTTGTAGACATGTGACGGATAAAGGGCTTCTAATGCTCGTAAAAAAATGCGGGAAACTGAAGTCGATAAACGTGTGGGGAATGAGGGTACCTTTGGACAGTATAATCGGACTTCTTACGATAAGTCCAGCTCTTCAAATACAGCCTAAAGGCATGCTCTTGCCTGATCATGCTTACCAAGGTTGGCCGATTTATTGACAACCTTTATTATTTATTTATTTCGATGGAAATCAAGATTATATTGCTTCTCTAAATTCATTTATTGGTGAAAAAATGGCGGAGATTTATTATATATAAATAAATAAGTACGAATCTTCGAGGAGGACAAGGGAGGTGTTCGTGTTCCTTTTTTTTTTTTTTTAATAATTAGATTTGTATATATGTATTGTTTGGTCTTTGTAAATTTCCAAATTCTGGTGACTGTTATTTTCCAAACCTAAATTCAAGAAATTGGTGAAGGATTTGTATATGTAAGAGAAGCTCTGTGAGCACATGTTTCCATGTGATGTACCTTTGGCTCTATCTGTAATACCTTGCTCTCAACTCAAAGGATGATATTTTCTTTCAATTCTTTTTTTTAAAGCCTTCATTTGGGTTGATGGATTTAGGAGCAAATTATTTATTTTCATTGCACAATGAATTTTAAACTAATTCTTGATTTGTTATCGGAAACTTAAAATTCAATTTATTTAAAATTATTTAAAATTATTATCATTAAAATAATTATAATTGATATAGTTGACCTTGAAAAGTTGGTTTTTTACGTTAAAGAAAAATAGATTTATTGTAGAGAGAGGCAAAATCCCTAGTCGATCTGGAATTGAAATTCTCACTTTACGATTGTCAGTACTCGATCCTACAACTTTGTACCAATTTACTACCTCCGGAACTATTTGAGCTACCCATGCAGCAAAAAAAAAAAAGATTAATTGGATACACAAAACATCCTCGATAATCAAAATACATGTGGCCGTTATGAATTCTGATGTATTCAAATCAAAATTAACAAGTTTAATTAAATTTAATGAAAATGAAAATCGATCAAGGGGATTAGTCACACCATCTGTAATTTAATTTTGACAAGTTAGTGGTGCCAATTTGTTCATTTCATGACTCAGTTAATCTCAATTCTTCATGGAAAAGAAAAAAAACAGTTATATTTAATTAAACGAGCCATAATGTACGAAAAAAATCGACAAGGAGAGAAACATCTTTCGAGATACCAATGATCCTGGAAACCAAACATTAATTAAACGAAATATCAAACGAGAAAACATTAATAAAATACGAAACGAAACGAAGATCAAGATGTAGCAATTATACCTGCATTGCACAAGAATTGGCCTCTTTCTCTTTCGTTTCTCTTTAGTCAATCTCTGTTTTAAGATAGTAACTTGTTACATATAGCAAATATACGCAGAAACCTATTCTAAATCCAAAACTTTAGAGACTGCAAACATTACAAGGGCTGATTGGATGTTTACATAATATCAATTCTCATTGCAACATAGTATAAAAGGTGACGAAAAAAGATAATAATAACAGAGCAAAAATGGCGGGAAAATTATTGAGTCTTGAAGCATCTCCGGTTAACTGAACGGACCCGGAGAAGCTTCCGGAATTTCCGGGAGTTGTGGTGGAAGTCATGTTATATACTGTGATTGCCTTGCATTTTCCAAAGGGTTCTCCTGCCTGCAAAGTTCATTCAAATAACTAAGTCACTTGCATCTATCAGTAAGTCGAATGCACTTCTATATATGTTAGCTTTGCATTTTCGTCTTTGAGGGTGGAAATGGAAATTGGAACGCAATTTCTGAATTCCGCGATTTCGATCTGAATGTTTCCAATTTTGGAACAACATTTGTTGTTCCGATTTCCGATTTCTATCGATTTTTAAATGGAATTGGAATACATATTAGATTCCGATTTCCGATTTTATGTATTTTATATTATAGGTGACTAAAATTTTGGAAATTCCGCCGATTCCGATCCGGAAATTTCTGATTTTGGAACAAGTTTTTTGTTCCAATTTCCGAAATTCCGATGTTTTTCTTTATATGAACGGAATTGGAATTAGTTTTTCACTTCCGAAACAAATTTGAATTTTACCGAAAGTGCTAATTCCGATCGGATCGTTCAGATTTCTACCCTTACTCTTTTCTTAATTTTTCGTGATTCTGAGTCAACCAAGAAAAACACTTATGTAGGTACAAAATATGGACAACAAACCTGGCAAGCAGAGACAGTACTACACCCACACAGTCGCTGCCCATTCATTCGATCCAACACATCAAAAACACCTCCTCCATCACTTCTCTGCAAATCCATATCAATAATTAAAAATAAAATAAAATAATTACCGAAAATAATCATCATTTGTTTACCAAGTTTAAAAGCTTCAACAATACCATGTAAAAATTCACTGCTAGAAAATTCGGTATCAAATTTCCGGCAGATTTATAACACGTGGCCACCATATCAGCAAGCGGCACAGAATGCTCTTTGCAAGCTTCGCTTTGAACTGGAATTGTAGGAAAATAATTCATCATAAATAAAGATGCACTTCTTGAATTAAGCGCCTTCGATTCCTTTCTATTCGGACATGAACCAGGCACCACCCCTGGATCTCCAGCTGAAAAAGTCAACACATAATTATACAATCGATGATTTTCCTCTGCAATAACCACCAAAAATTAATCATTTGTTTTAGTATTATATACATATACATATACATACACTCATTTTCCACCATGTACTTCCACTGATACGCAATGCCTTCGGCCGCCTCTTTCGAAGAATCGGAAGTGAAAACAAGTAAGCGATAATTATTCTGCACCATCTTGTTAATGGTGGGCCAGTCTTCGCCTTTCTTCGGCATTTTGGCAAGTGGATACATGTACTTGTCTAAGCCAGCATCGGTGAAGACTCTCGTCAGTCCTTTTGGTGTGTGGACATAATCCTCGATTATGATTGTGATAATTTCCGAGGGGTTTTGAGCCAAGAACGCTTCCACTTCTCTCAGTGTATTGATTACAGGCTCCTGTTTGTTTTTTTATTCCATTTGCAGCAAAAACGAAACTATCGGCCACAGAATTATTTCGAATTATTCGAATTAACGAGATAAAAAACAGGGTAAATATTTACATACGAATGCGGTGTAGTTGTAGCATTGGCCGCGAAACGAATGGCAGAGCCATATGTCGTTCTCGAAATCGTACATATCCAGCATCAATCCCCGCACTCCATTCTATACCAAAAAAATTAAAAATTAAAATTAAAAATAGAAGCAATCATATACTGTGTGCGTGATGAAAATGTGTTACCCTCAATTGATTTGTGACGGAGTCTTCTTGGTTGTAGAAAGTGATTCTCTGAGCGCCGGTGAGCAGCGGCGCGTCGACAATGGAGAATGCGTTGTGAGTCACGAGCCATGTGTACTTGTTAAAAGGCATCCCGCTAATCTATTGTTGCATCACAAGCACAAAACACGCACAAACACACACATAAAAAACACACAGTAGTTAAAAATCATCGACATTCGGAAATTAAAAAAAAAAAAAAAAGGGGGGGCAAAATTGCAGGGTGGGGGATTAGAGAATTTCGAAGAGTAAATTACAATTGAAGATGGAATTGTAGCTTGGCCTCTGATGCAGAAAGGCTGATCTTTCCCAATAGCAGGGCAATTCCCACAGTACAGACCGGGACCACAGTCGGTGGCGGCGGAGCACGGCGATTCGAGAAGCTGCGACAAAGGAGGAGCGAAAAATTGTAGGGATTCGAGCAGAAAAGACAAGAGAGTTTCATTCAGCAGAGAGTGACTGACCTGAGAATCGCCATTGAAGAAGAAGAAGAAGAGGGGAAAGAGGAAAAAGAGGCGCACGATAGCGAGAGTGGCGGTGGTGCATGTCTTCTTCTTCTTCATAGTAGAGTGGGCTGCTGCGCCTCCCTCCGAAGAATACGCCAACATGGGGAGTAGTGTCAGCTGCAGAGGGAGCCAGCCAGGAATATTAGGCAGACATTTTATACATTATTATAATTAATTAATTAAACCCAGTGTTTTTAAGTGTTTAATTATGAGATTAATTAATGTTTAATGTAATATAAAAAGGAAAGAAAGCTAAAGTTTAATATTACGACAGAGATTGTGTTTTGCGTTGCGTTTGCTGAATAATGAATTCTGTCTTCTTCCTCCACCCCCACCCAACATTAAAGAAAAAGGTCAAAGAAAAAAGAAATAAAGAAAATATTGACTCATCTTATCACTTATTCACTTCACTTGTCTTCAACATTATTATTATTATTATTATTATTATTATTATTATTATTATTATTATTATTGGGTCACGGAAAATACAAAAATTAAAAAAAGAAAAAAAATGGACAAGTTTGAAAAGATAGTTTATTTTTGGTAAAAAATGAACCCGCCAACCATATAGGTGTATTAGGTAAACCTACACTCTCGTATTTGAACCTAGGTCAATTAACACAGACACACTTGCTTTTAAGCGCTAGATTGATCTCTGTACTGAAAAGATGGTAGTTGATTAATATTGTTGTAGTAGGTTATCATTTTCAGAGGTGTTCACATGGTGGGGACTCCCTTTTTAATTTAGGCCTTAATTTCCAAATGTTGGGCATTCACCATAAATGTTGTTCACATTAATTCTTTTTTTTTTTTAAATAAAAGATCCACAGTAAGCCAATAAGTGCACTGAATAAACATATACATATTCGTATAATATCTTGTAAATCATACGGAGATATAAACCACACTAGGTTATTATGTGTTACTAGCCCGACCCAACGACCGTTCCCAAGCAATCAACATATTGTTCGCATTTAATTCTCATTAAACAGAGCTACAACATTTGTATGGATTTTATTTTACCAACATTTGATTTCATCGAAACGCAAATGCTGCAAATTAATTAATTATATTGACTAAAAGAGCCACAGATATAATAATGCACTAAAAGATTATTTAACAGTAGAAACGTGTAAGAAAAACCTGGGACAAGATGAATGATAAGGTAATGAAAATAGTAAATGATTTAGGGATTAGTCATACCTAATTGTATAATTAGACAATGAGAGGTCCAACACAACAACTCTCAACAAAATAAAACCTAATTATTTAGTTAATCACAGTTAATCTTACCGACCAAATAAAACAGTAATTGCTTCAAGTAAATTTGTCTTAAAAATTTGCTTAAGCTGAAAGAATTTTTCAAAAAAAGAAAGAAAACAGATTGATTTTACACAAGAATTGTGATCGAAAACAAGGACTACTCCTGTATTTTTTTTTCCGGCTTTCGGTGAGTATGTAAATGTAGTCACGAGCAAAAAGAATCAGTTTTTCGGTTACCCTGGAGATGCCTGCCTTAACCTTTATCTCCAGCAACTAAATGATTAGGAAGTTTGAGCTAGAAAGTTTTCGATGATGTTTTTTTCTTTTTTCTTTTTTAAATCAGAAACGGAGAAAAAATAAAATAAAAATCTATCTTCATTTTTCAGACATGAATAACGAGTTTTTAAGTGTGCTTTTTGGCACGGCCGTTTGATGGAGCACCGTCTTCTCTTTTTGTTCCCGATGATTCGGGTTTTTTAGCCCAAGCAGGAGCTCTATCGGCTTCATAGCGATAATCGTAAAACAGTTCTTCACCAGCACTAATTCGTTCTTTGGCAAATATACCCACCCTGTGATCTCCAGCCACCATAATCACCTGCCAAACGAAATCCTGATGAGTAATTGTGACAAGAGAATAATATATTCCATCGAGGCAATATTCACATGTAACATATGGCCACTTTTGTGAAAAATAGGTATATTGCAACTAGAGTGTATTTTAATCATCATTACCAATGTAAGTAAAATATTTTGCAGCAGTTACCTTAGCGTAGCAGTTGGGATCAGGAGAATGGTTGGCAAATTTTAGTTTGTCGCCCTTTCGGTAAGCATCAAGCACAAACTGAACATGGTTAAAGAATCGTCATTTATGTTCTCCTCCTCTTTGGATAAGGTCGGGTTTTTGGGGGGTGGGGGTAATAAAGGAATTTTGACAGAATAAAAGGTTAAGAATATCATGCCTGATCATTTAGATTAAAGAGAAACGATGAATTTTCTCGATCGTAGATCTTGCCGCGCTTGTCAGCTTCACGGTGTGAGATTAGTTCACCGGTGTACTCTCCAAGGTACTCATGCTTTCCAACGCTATTCTGCAGTTGAAGTAAGGCTGACCGTTGAAACAGAAAGAGGAAAAGAAAAGGAAAAAATAAAGTTAACAATAATAGTAAAATTACCTTCAAGAAAGCTCCCCAGCCAGATATATCAGATCTACCAAGCAAAACCTACAAATGTACTCAACAAGCATTATTATTAACATTCGCTACTCATTATCCACTATTACTCAAGAACTCAATTGAATTCTTCGATTAGATGTCAACATAGGACTCAATGAAAAATTATGGGGTGAGTAAAATAAAATAAATGAGAATTAGTATTAATGTTTAAATAAAAGAACTCTTGGTGCAGAATAAGCATATAGAAATTGAGAATCAGGAAACAAAGAATTCAATCTCTAATTGAAGACAATCTCAAAGTATTAAATATGTAATATCTGAGGCAAGCAAAACAAGCTATATAGAGTTTCCTCCAGATCAATTTGTCATTTCAAGATAGAGATCAAACAACACAGAAACCGTGGTTAACTGGATTATTAACAGTGTAACAATGCAAATTACCCTCTGTTGTTGTTTTAGAAGAAGCTTCATATTCCTGCATTCGTAATTATCGCCTCTCTGGGAAGGTGTCCCAAGGGTGCCATCACCACAACTGTCAAGCCAAATCAAATAGTATAACTAATTGAAGAAAGGAAAACAATCTTCTAAGAGAATCACATGTTTTGATTATGACAATCCACCAGAAATTTGAACAGAAGAACATTGCAATGGATTGCAAAACTGATCGGTGAATAAATTTGATACAACCATGTAAATAAAAAAATATTGCTTCTCATAATAATTCCACCGAGAAATTATATAAGGCCTAGTTTCTGAAAATCAATAAGTTGAATTTAGAGTAGAATCAGCATTCCGTTTAATGCCAATGAAACTTTCATCAATTTCATAATCCAAAACAAATTTTGTTCACTTCCATTTATCAGCAGGGCAACATTTAAATTTTAATGAGATATAGTGAGTGGTCCAAGTGTCGCTAAACCATCCCAGATCAAACTCAGAATTTTGCAGCCACTATACCAATTGCTTGGTGTCGACCTCACAACAAAAATTTCACCAAATTACAATGATTCAAAATTTACCTACCATACACAACATACTTTGTGCTCTTAAATCATAGGTTTAAGCTCTAATCTGCTACACACACATGCACCAGCCTTTGAAACTAATACCAAATTAGTTAGCTTTATACTAGAGGTCGTATGGGTTTAAGTGGATGGTGGTTGAAGAGTTAACCCACCCATATTGAATGATTTAATAGAGGTGTTGAATGGGGTGATCAACTTTAATATGCTCGTCAATGAAAGAGGGGGAACTATAATGTGTCTCACCTTATCCAGCAATTTCGGCAGACATCTGGATCACACTCCCTATCAGCAGCAAAGCATGGGCATTGTCGACTTCGACACTGACTCTTGGCACAATGACAGCCTCTGAATCGATTCTTGCAACTCTTTGGACATCTGACATAGAATATTGTAGGACTTAATGGTTAACTTGTGTATGGGCCCAAAAGAAAAGGAATATTCAACTTGTTGGGATATCATAGAGTATCAAATTGAAAAAAAATAAGATAGAAAACTCAATACACAAAAAAGAAGAGGAAAGTGGAAATTTAATTGAAAAATCTCAGCAAAAGAACTCCAATATAAAGTTCAAATATTCAAACCAATAACAGGAATCGTAGATAGCTCACCCGCAGTATTTCTCACAGCAGGTGCCATTAACAAGACATGGGCAAGTTTTGCCACATGCCGATTGGCATCCACATGGACTGAACTGCCGACAAGGCTGGTCCTTCCTTTCAGTAATCCTTTTCTTGAATGATTGGTAACCTGCAGATTTCCATGTGTACTTCAGGCGACGAACTCTTCCTTTTCTACGTAAAAATCTCGATCTTCTTCGTGCACCAGTACCCTAGTTTTTGCACAAAAAGAATATATAAGATCTGTTTCATGAGCTCAAATTCAAATTATCTAAAAACAAATAGAAAAGGACTCACCACAGTTTCATTAATATCTTCTTCTAGAGAGCCATCGGCAAAGGTCATTCCTTCACCATCTTCAGAGAACATTTTTTTCTCAGAATGGTGCATGTATTTGAAGATTTCTGAACAACTCTTTAAGCCACTCATAAGGTTCCTAGCAATTAAACAGCTGCATACAATACATAGCCCCACCTTAGAGCATAACATTAAAATTTTAGGCCATTCAGCCAGTATGTAGTGTACAAGGAAGTTTGTTTGAGCTCCAGAACAATCTTGACTCTAAGATTGCTATACTGTAGTTATTTTATTTTACTGATATGGAGCTAAAAAAAATAATTGCGTGCTAATTAGATACGAGAGTTGGGATATGGAGATTGTATGATTGATAAAAGTTAGCTTCAGGTATAGAACATATGTAATAGATAAAACACGAGTAAACCTTATATGGAGTCTAACCTGTTGCGGCCAAAAATCTGAATACCCTTCTCATACAGTGCCTTCTCAAATGGTTTCCAACATTTATTGTCAATTATTTCTTGTTTAAACATATTTTCATCAACAAATTCTTCTTTCTTTAAGGTGTCACCGCTGCTAGTCAGGGGTTGATTACTCTCACTCTCATTTGACGCATCACTGACAGCCTCTTCCTGCAAAGATTTTTCAAAGTCTAGAACTAAAGACTCTTTCCTTCTGGACTTTCTAGAACTTGTAGATTTCACTTTCTGAGAAGAACTACTATCTTCATTCTCTCGGCATGAATTAGTATGTAGTTTTAAATCTTTCAAACTAAGACCACCACCAGCAACAGAATCAGAATCCGATGTTGGCATTTTCTTGTGTCTTTTCTTTTTGGCGTCTATAACATTTTCAGCTATTCTCTTGCTACTCCTTTTGTCACCACCAGATTTTCCAGCAGATGTACTCTTTACTGATGAAGATACATCATTAATAGGTTTGATCTCTGAGGAAGAAGAACTATCACTTTGGCAAGACTTTGACTTTTTCTTGAGAGATGTACCTCCCTTCTTCCTCTTTTGCATTTGCATTGCAGCAGCATTAGATGCAGGGGAAGCTTTTTCTTCAAAATTTGCCTGCCTGGAGTTCATACCCTCTGACTCGAGAACCTGATGCAATGTAAATTATCATAAAAATGTTGGGCATTACAAGAAAAGTGTGAGATACATAACCCTGGTTAATGACTACTACTCAAAAGGAAACTTAAAAGAAACAAAGACAGTATACCAGTCGATGGCAATTTCGGCCACATGGTTCCTTCTCCACATCCGGACTTGACCATGATACTTGCTTCTCCACCTAAAGGAACAAAAAAAAAACAAATATTGCAATGAACCCTTTCACCACTGATAACAACTTAGACATATATATCCTGAGATAATCGACTTACAGAAATGGCAAGATCCTGGGAACAGCCATGCAGTTTACAGTCAAAAATCTGCCACATAAAAAGGAGTAATTTTCAATGAGCTAAAATTATGCGGAATCATATGAAATAAATAAAATTATATAAAAAGAAGTGCTTCCACAAAAGAGAAAAATGAAAGAGGTCATATCATATACTTACTAGACACCGGCGACAAAATAGAGTGTCAAATGAATCCAGAGCAGCATCAAGATCTTTATCAATATATGGATTCACAAAGCCTTCAGCATTTCCATTGTTCACACGGCACATAGCATTGTTACTCTTGATAAGATCTTCATATCTTCCCTGTATAAGATGTTCGATGGTGGTTTATCTCTGTAAAGCCAGCAAAACAAAAATGGGAAACAGCTGGACCAAAGTTGTTACAGTGACCAGTTCTTTTTTTTTTTTCAGATAATAGCAGAGAGAAAATGATGAAAGAAAATATCAGCACACATATATGTCCACAGTTAAAGTGCATACCTTGATTTCACCAGATTTTCTAGATAGAGACTGGGCCAACAAATCCAATGTCATATCAGAAAAACCAACTTCTTTGATGGTTGTTCTGAAAAAAGAAGTACCAAACACACAAAAAAGGATCATATTAGTTCCATAAATGATGTGTCATATCTAAAAAAAGGAAATCAGTCAAACAGGAATTCATATTAGCAACCATTCTCAGAAAATATATTAAAAGAACTCTTCTTATGCAAAATTTTGAAGAGTAAAAGTAAACTTCATATTCAGATGTAAAAGGAAAATCACAGATGAAACGCTAAAAGACTTTTTATCTGTAAGCTCCAAGTAACTTCTACTCTCTAAGAAATAAAATGGAGAACACAAACATTCTCTCACAGGCTCCAACCAATCAGTCCTATGGCTGATAAACTATTCAGTGACGCCTAACCTGGAAGACTTATATCGACCAAGATAACAACAACCAAACATGGAAAACAAAAAACGGGTATACTATACATCTCTGAAATTTATTTTGGCCAATGCGGAATCAGCAAAAGAAGATGATCAAAACATCAATGCAACTGAAAATAGAATGTTATTTTGAGCATAAAAGATTTTTTTAGCACAATAAGGATACAGTAGAAAGGCCAAAAGAGACTACAAAGTCCGAGCAAATATACCAACCGCAGAATGTAATCTTCGTATTCTAAAAATTCTTTCTTTTCTTCTTCATCATCAGCAGCTTCTTCTTCACTGTCACTACATATTAGAGCTTCACCGCCAGTCTGGTCATAGTAGATTCGCCTTCTACCAACCACTGACTGATCCTCTGTCATTCTCTGATTTCTGCACAAACAATATATTAGTATACTTCATCAAAAGAACTAAACAATAAAACTCTACGGTTGATAGCTATATGATGCCAGAAATGAGTATGAACTGAGACAATCACAGCAACATTATGGTATGTGGCTGAGTGCCACATGTCAGTACCAGAATGAAGAATGATGCAACCTCATTCCCAAAAAAAAAATCACTTTGCCATCTAGTTTAACAAGATTTGGGAATTTTTTGACCAGATTTGATCACATGACGGAGATCTTTTTGAAGACTTAGTGTGTCAGTTTTGGGCCATTTGGCATGGGACAATTTGTAAAGTGGTAAGGTCTCCTAGCGAAATAAGCAATTTTTTCATGCCAACGTGCCTAGAAATTGGCTATTTATATGCATATATTAAAAGGACTTGGGTTCGGACGTGAATCGAATTTCAACGGGTAATGCCCAAATCTCAACGACCTAGATGTCAAAGTAAGAAGATGTTTACATAGCCAACAGCCAATTACGCAGAAACACTTCATTGTTGTTTGAAATTAAAGTGATAACTTCCCCCCAACAAATACTGCCTAGCAGACCAACTATCTTGATTTGACTCGAATGATTATTCAAATAACAGATTAACAGAAAGTACATGTTCCAAGTAACAGCAAACAATCTCATGATTATTTTGGTAAGTCTAAAACTTTGTAACTAAACCTCTAACAGCCAGACTACCATTTACACTACTATGCTCTCCAGACTACCATCTACATATAGGACAATTGTTATTAGAGAATGTGTCCATCAAACTTTCAATTTCCATTATACAAAAGGAAGAAAAACAACCATTTTGTTTTTTTTTTATAAATGGGTCACCAGAACAGAAATAGACACTGGTTTGGTTTGGAGAATCATAAATATGTTATAAAGTACCATTTCATACACCACGCGCATTGGAATCTTGACTCACCTATCCAAAAAGATCCATGTAGTATAGGGTGGCAACTTTTTCACCTCCGGCAGCTTAATAGGACGGACAGCATTCTTGACTGCAATACTTGATCCCAAGAGAATCGCTGAAGGGGCATATCCATCTTCTTGGGAGCTAGTACTTTCATTATCTCCATTACTTGTGCCAATACCATTATGCATATCAATTGCATCTTTCTGCCTCTTTGCCAGTAAATCGATACCTCCATCACCAGAAATAATCTTCAAATTTCTTCTTTCCATGGATAGCTTATAAATACCTTTTGTAACTTCAAGCACTTTCTCAGAATTTTCTTCCATCCGTTTCTGGGAGGCCAAACAAAAAGCAACCAAGAGTTTATGAAATCATCATGAATTTGACAATCATCATTTGTTAAAGATTATGAACAGCAAATGTGCACCTTTATATAGACAGAGCGGTCATAAACAACTTGTTTCTTTAGAGAATCAATGACGGTTAAGGTATCCTGTGCTGTCTGACTTGTTTCTTGATTCCCAGAAACCTGTCCAGGTTAGAACAAATTCGATAAAGAGTTATAAGCTGTATGTTCTCAGTATCTGACAGATCAGCAGGTAGCATAGAATCTATCATTAAATGATATGGGCATAAGGTCATTAATTCTTTCTTCCCAATAGGATTTCAAATAACTTTAGTTTCCCTAATTGAGCCTACTTCCCCTTTTTGTTTTATGTTCTCTTTTTTTTCCCGAAAATTGGCCTTATAAATGACCATTACAACACACACACACACAAACACACAATCAAAGGGGTTCAAATGTAAAGTGATGCCCAAACATTACATTAGACTCTTTATGATTAACAATTAACATAATCGCCAAAAAGTCCAATTCACCATACCTTAAGACACGTGTAACAACAAAAAAAACCACCACAATGTACCTTCATATTCAATTCCCCATCATCATAAAACGCCACAGCAGACAGATAAGAAAACAAAAAACATACAGGCATAATCGGAACATATACATAAAACACACAGACAACACTTCCAATCCAAAATGCAGCTGAAAAAAGGGGAAGAGCGAATCGAGTCATTACATGAGTGTCGTCGGATCCGGATGCGGAGGGGGAGGCTTCGGGCGCCGACATTGCCGGTGGGGGAGCCGATAAGGCCGCGCAGCGCTCGATCCGGCAATGGAGCTCCGATTGCAGATCCGGCTCATGCAAAGCAGAGCCGTAACTTCGATTTGGCGGTATGAATTTTGAAAACCCTAAGAATGGATACTGAGGAGGTGGCGGATGTGGGGGGCCTAGAGGGGGGCGCTTTTGCAGTGCTTTGCCCTCTTAATCATGTACCTGTTCAACTTTCCACCTTTGCTGCTGAATATACCATTACCATTTTCTATAGCATATACATCAAAGTGTTTATGTTTAATGAAACTTTTTAGGGTAATTTTTTTTTTCTTCTTATTTGGTCTTTGTTAAATGTGGTAGGGCCTCGAATTTAACGACCCCGTTAGCTAATGGAACGCGTACGGATTTGAAAATTTTATATTTTACGGACGCGAAACCTAACATATCGAGCTGGCTACTACGATTTTCTCGCCCAACGAAATTTAATTCGAGCGTCTAATCGAAAAATGCCTAAGTCTGTATTACCTCTATCGATACGCCACATGTCTTTATGATTTAGAAGTACGTTACAACTTGCATCCTAAAGTTGTATGAATAATTATAGCATGGGAAGATTTCCGCGGTGATTTGGCCCCGACACCCTAACTCGTGCAACGTTGTGACATGCCTAATATACTTAGGCTCGTTTGGTTACATGTATCGATTGAGTTGGCTTATAATGTTTGGCTATATATAACTAATAATTTATTAATTCTTTTACATGAGTTATACCTATACTAAAATAGTTACATTTTATATTAAATATAATTTATTAATCATAATATTTTATGGATAAGTAAATATCAATATTATTCTTTCAAATATAGTTTAATTATAAATCTATACGAATTTAAACTCGATGTATTTTGATTACCTAATTCAAGTGGAGTTGAGCTGGACTATCAGTCAACGTGACTAAGGAAGAAAGAGTTGACTATAGTCAACCGAAAGCCCAAGGGCTTCTAAATGGGCCCAATCTCGTTAGCTCGGCCCATAAGATGAAGTACCCATTTACTATTTTGTCGCAAAATAACATCCACAAACCGGACCCAGCCAATTTTGACAATCGGATATGAAGGCAGGCGGTGGAGTTGTGTTCAGTGTTCCACGCGCCGCCGCGTTTCCCGCAGTCCTCTTCGGCCACCGCCGTCCCACTTTCCGCTGCTACTCATCATCGTTTCCCGGTATATATATGTAAACAAACTTCGCTTCTCCATTATATCTGCAGTATATCACAATTTATGCTATTTCACCTCACCCAAACACACCACGACACGCGCGCAAAATGTGTGTAAAATTACTGGTTGTTTGATTGCAGAGCACGCGTCATTTATAAAAGATGTAGCCGCCACACAACCACCGGAGCATTTGAATCATCTCCTCAAAATGCTTCAGATTAAAGGTCTGTATTTTTTCGTCATTATTTCTATTTTATTTTAGTATTTATTTCTTTATTTATTTATTTTTTGAAATTAAGTATGCCGGCGGCATTTTCGTAATTGTAACAGGTGATCAAATCATATCTCCGGGAGCAAAGCAAGGGCTGATTCCTCTCGTTGTTCCTCTATCCAAAAATAAATCAGGTATATATATTATTACCTATATAAATCTATTTTAATTTAATTATTAATTTTTATTTATTTATTTTAATTTTTTTGGGGTACTGGTTTCAATTTTCTAACATTGATTGTGATTTTATTGATGATAGGTTCGGTAACGGCATTGTTACGATGGCCAACAGCTCCGGCTGGGTAATCGATCTCTGACATGCTATATCAAATATACACCGAGTTAAATGTGAATTTCGTGTTAATTAATTTTAATAGTTAATCCCTATCCCGAATGCACGTAGGATGGAGATGCCAGTGGTAGAAGTTCGTAAATACGGAGTGTGGCTTTTGTCTAAGAATGTGAGTTACTCTGTATTTTGTTCACACAATCAAAATTACAAAATCGAAATTGTTGTAAGTACGAAACGAGCTATTCTCTCTGAAAAAAAAATAGGTCGAGCAATACATCAACAGAATCTTAGTGGAAGAAGACATTAAAAACTCTCAAGAAAGAAACGAGGAGTTATTTCACGCCTCATCCAGCACAGAAAATAAGTTTTACGAAAAGGGCGATTTTGCTTCGTCTCAGATTTCGAGCTTAGAAACCTATCTTTTAAAGAAGGTAATATTGCAGTAGGAAACTTTCTCTTTAAGAGTCAACTTAAGCTTATATAACACCAAAAGCGCTTTTTTCTTTAAATAACAGGTAGGTTTGTTTCCGGACATACTAGAACGGAAAGTCGAGCAGCATTTTGGCAAAGGAGACAATGTAAGATTAATTTCGACAAAGCAAACCTCTTCATAAATAAAAAGTGTCGTTTTATTTATTATTTATTATTACATTGTTGTGATATGCACATGATGGTGTAAGGTTTCAGCCTTGGTGACTGGGGAATTCTACATTAAAAGGGACCATTTTCCGGGATTCGGCCGCCCCTTCGTCTTTAATGCAGAAGTTTTACTAAAGTTTGTAATATTTTTTTTAGAGTATTTTATGACAATAATTCTTGCCTCGACTTAAGTTGCGCTTAATGTCTTTCCTTTTGATATAGAGTTGGACGAAGTATAGAATCCAAAGATTCTGCGAGGGTGGCTCTGAAATCGCCATGGTGGACACTGGGCTGTGAGTATCAGGTAAGCAGTGCTCGTAATTCATCTATTTATTTCGTTTTTCAAACTCGTGTTTTTTTTCTTCCATGTAACTATTTTGTTTTATACGATAATTAGAAAGCTGCTGATTTAGCTCAATGGGAGGACGAACAAATTGAGTACATCAAAGAGAGAGTGACGGATGAGGGAAGACAAGACGACTTGAAAAAGGGAAAGGAACCTGCTCAGGTTCCGACTCTTGTAGATTACGATTCTATTCATTGTTTTATTATTTTTTTATTTTTTGTTTACCGATCGATTTGAATGCAGATTGCATTGGATGAAGCTGCATTTCTTTTGGATTTAGCTTCAGTTGAAGGAACATGGGATGCATCTGTCGACAGGGTTGCTGAATGTTACAGAGAAGCTGGGCTTCATGATATCGCCACGTTTATTCTTTACAAAGGCTAAATTTCTGCAGACGTCCTATTTTCGGCATTTATGTTTTGCATTGAGTTTTGTTTCGACTCTAAATCGATAATTTTTCGAAATATTTATAAAGGAATTCTTTAGATACTTAATGTACGACCACGATCTTGACCGTTCACAAGGAGTAGGTCTTAGTAACCAAGATCTTACGTAGATCGTTCGTGCAGTGAAGCCTAACTTCTTCAATACAAACTAACAGATCTATAGTCTTACAAACTATGCCCTCGAGACGAGTACTTACAACAGACTCTAGAAGAGATACAAGAATTCACTTGTATCTATTTTCTTCTAAATCCACAATGAAAACTGGCAATGCGGACTTGTATTTAATAGACTTCAGCACGCGTCCACTAGTTGCACATGTTACACGTGGACTAATACACGTACGATTCATTGCCGAACAAGTTGTATTTGTCGAATCCAATATTCACATCTATATAAGTAAACATGGTTGTACTCTTTGTGACATATCTTTTTATTTATTCATTTTAAAAAAATTGCATCTCCAAATTAAAATGAATTTCTGTTAATTAGGTAGATTAATTGTATTTATCATATAGGCTCATATAGTGGGCCAAGAGAGATTACAAAAATGCCCCAAGGCCGAATGTATCATAGTCAATAAGGGCCGGGCCGTCTTAGTTCAATGCGTCTAATTTGTGATCGAAAGCCCGATTCAATTCTTGAAGGCGGGAAAATTGACCAATTTTGATCTAGTTATTGTATGAAATTGGCCCTCGTCAACTATACGGTATTTATTTATTTATTATTTTACTTTTTACTTTATTTTAAAAATTACTATAACATATATTTACACACGAGATTACGTTATATCTCGAGTATTAGAAGGGTTTCCCTCGATTCTAAAAATTCCGATAGTCTTTTGCAAGATTACATAAAAAGTGTCGGATCTTATGAATCGTAAGATATAATCTCGAAAAAGGATGAATGCCGATAAACATTAAAATAATATGGACACAAAGACTAAACATTTATGATTTTTGTCTAAAAATATGAATGGATTATAGTAATAAATAATAGTGTTTCGAAAAGGTTTGTGCATTTATTGAAAATCGGGTCTTATATAGGAAAAAAAACTCAATCCAACAATTTTCGATTTGTATAAATTAGTGGTGGTATTGCAATTCAGAATTTCGAAATAAGTTATATAAAATAAAAAATCGCAACACTCGAAAGATTTTCGAATCACCGTCGACAAATAATTGAAAATGATTGGATCTTGGGGCGCGAAAAAAAAGAGACTTCAACGACCAAATAGTAGTAATAATAGTAATAACAACAGGAGTAATAAACGCACAAAGGTTAAGTTTCGATTATTGTTATTATTATGATTATTATTTTTATTATTCTTAAACATTTGTTCCTTAATTGTTCATTGATGTTTGTTTAGCAACAAATCGGACTTTTTTTTTTTTGTTTTTTAATTTTTTTTTTAATTTTTTAATTAATAAAAATAATAAGAAATAATTTTAATTTCAATTAGCGGAGAAATAGGGGAAGGAAGTAAGAGAAAATTGGAAAGGAGATAGCAAAAATCCCTTTTTGCCTAACTTCCAAACCCTAATTTTGAATATAATAATTGTATGAAAAAAATCGTTAATGGCTGGAGAAGGAAAATAAATGGCTAAAGCAAAGCAGCAAAAGCCCAAACCTAGCAGACAAGCCAAACAACCCCATGTAATATCGGGGAGCTCGTGTTTTTGCTACTAGCATTTTTTTTTATTTTTTTTTTATAAATTTATAATCTTTTTATTTTTGGGGTTTAGGGTTTTGATTTTGTTTTAGTTGTGAACAGAGTAAACGGCGCGGCGGAAAGCAAAACGATGTATCTGAATTGCGAGGTCAGCTCGATGTTTTAGGATTGAAAATAATTCAGGTTACTGCAGATGGTAATTGTTTTTTCAGGTGCGTCTGCTTTGTGATTTCATCTGTTTTTCACGCAATTAGAAATATGTATTTTGTGTGTATATGTGTTTGTGTGTGTGTGTGTGGATGTAAGCAATTTATTTGATCAGGTTTATTATTTTTTTTCTTGTGGCAGAGCATTGGCAGATCAATTGGAAGGGGATGAAGACGAGCACGAGAAGTATCGGAGTATGGTGGTTCGATTTATTAAGGTGAACTTATCAAAGAGAAATGGATATTTGTTGATTTAGAACAAAATTTGGTCAAGTGTCGTATAACATAATTTCTTGTTACCATCGGGCAGTTGCTTGTGCTTTACATTAATCGATGATATAACGACGATTATGTTTCTTATACGAGATGCTATTATGGGATATTTAAGTTCGTAAATTGAGTTTGTATTCCTTGCTTCCATTTGCGGAATTGATTGAGAGTCTTCATTCGTATCTAGGGTTTTACGTAGGAAATATAGATGATATGCAAAACCTAGATAATTACTAAATATAGCTCAGCATGGTCGTAAAAACGATTTCGTAGTTCATAATTTGCTATTCTTGGAGCAAGATATAGCTGACTAATGAGTTATTACATTTGACAGAATAATCGTGAAATGTTCGAGCCCTTTGTTGAAGACGAAGTTCCGTTTGATGAGTACTGTCGATCCATGGGAGAGGATGGCACTTGGGCAGGGAATATGGAATTACAAGCAGCTTCTCTTGTCACTCGATGTAACATATGCATTCACAGAGTATGTTACAAACAATTTAACTTTGTGCTCGGTCATGCTGTAACATTTTCTTAGATTGATTTCGATTTTTAATCATTTGTTTGTACAGCATATGTCTCCGCGATGGTATATACAGAATTTCAATAAACATGAAGTTACGATGATTCATCTGTAAGTACTCCCAAAATTCTACACTCTTGTATATCTCCTTCGTTTTTGCGCAACTACCGTCCTCAAACTGATAGTTATTTATTTTGTTTAATATGTCGATACTAAAAGTAAAATTATGTGAGCTGAATCTTTATGAAAAAATGGCTGTCCAATATTTGGATAGAGATTCTTTTAGTTCATGTTAGCGAGCTTTCTTTTTGTGCATGGGACTGAACGAGGGATTCTCCTGTAGCGCATTATCACATTTATCCTATTTTTAGTATCTAAAGCGTGACATCCAATCAAAAAAATAATCTAAACAATTTCCTAATTTATGCTCATATTGCACGTCACTTGATCCCATTGCAACTCATAAAATAGGGAATTAAGGTCCTTATCTATTGATTAACTGGTTTTGTTGGAAATTGACAAGCTCTCCAGCTATATTCTAAGTTATGTGAACTTTAATTAATTGCATATCACCTTGAAATTAAGCAATTAAGCTAAAAAAAATGGTCTTAAGCATTTAAACGAAGACATTTCATGATTTTTGCTCTATCCTTTTGCATCTGTTCATTAAATTCTCTTTTAAGTTAGTGGAGCCATAAGAAGGTCATATTTTTATTTCCGTCGAAATTGGCATATAATGTGAACGTAAAATGGTTTAGTTACTTTGTGATTAATAGACCTGCTTCTACTAAGCAGCAAGTCTCCTCTCAACTAATTTTACCTTTATAGTTACTTTTATCCAAACAACCCGGGAGGTAAACAAAATTCGTACTTACTATGCAAGTATAGAAATATCTATTTATTGCTTTTCATTGTCATTAACAATAGTATGTGAGGTCTTATTTTGAGGCACTGTGTACGGCTTTTAATGGCTACCCTCATATTAGATGAAATCATGAAGATGCATTTATTGCAGTACTCCATCCGTTTTAAATTCATTTTTGTTTAAGGTTTCCGCACATATAGTAAGAAAACTAATAAATATGAACGGTTTTAGGGAGAAAAAACAAACGCATAATAGGACCAATATACCCTTCACGCCAACTATTTCTCCTTCAATGCGTGAGGGAGTTTAGGAGTACTAAGGGAAAAAGTGGAAATAAAGTAATCAATGCATCATTGGAATTCTAAAGTGATAGATTTAAAGATAATATGGAACACACACAAAAAAAAAAAAAAAAAAAAGAATCTCGTGTCAGTTAATTGAAACAGATGGAGAATTTGTTATCTTATAGTTCATGCCTTTTTTCCGATCTTGGCATTTGTTTCAGTTCATTTAAGTTCTCAGTTTGGATTTAGTTGATGATCCTCTAAACATCAGGAGTAGATTGTTCGAAGTACTTTATAAGCTCATAGGAAATATATTTACTTGACGTAAAAACATTTAACTTGTCAATTCTCATTTTTAGTGTATGCTTAGTGAGGTAAAATATCACTTTTATGCTTTTGACTGCGCATTTTTCCGCTGTGCACTTTCGGCGCATGTGTTAATTTTGTGAGTTGTAGGTGCAGAATTTCTTCCATTTCTTGAACATTTGATGTCAGTTTCTATTTCTTCGAAAGTACGGATTCATATTATTGACGAATCCATATAGTTTGAGTTGAAGTGCACTTATTTTGCTCTCTCCTTCACATTATAAAGAAATTGAACAAGTTCTACTTTTTGCGGACATTTCATTTTAGATCTCTGAACTTGCTTATTACTTTGCAGTTCTTATCACGATGGAGAGCATTATAACAGTGTGCGCTCGAAGGAGGACACTTGCTCTGGACCAGCTAGGCCGATCGTTATAAAGGTTTTTGTTTTTTGACGAACTTCTGAATCAGTTTTAGCTGAAATATTTATCCGTGCTATCAAGAATCTGACAGTTTCTATCTATGTAAAAAGGGCGATGCTGATCTTTCTACGAAATCCAGTCAACCAAAAGCAGCTGCTTCGAAGTCCAAAGAAGAAGGTGGACGGAACGCTGTTCACGACGACTCCCTTAAATTGGTTAAGGCAGGAAGTGGATGCGAAGATGTAAGAAAGATTGAACAGGTGATTAACTTTTTTACCATTTGTTGTACTTTTTTTTTTTTTTTTTATTACTTTTTTGTAGTAATTATCTCTTACCAGTTGAGAAGTCTGATTATTAGGCCTAAAGTGTACCCCCGAAATCTCCCCCAGGGTGCACGAAACTTGCACTAATATTGAAAATCTAATAAGCTATATTAAGAGTACTCATTTTTTCTTCAATTGTGTTGTGATGCGTAAAATGGATACATTTTTAAGTTGATTTTCTATTTCTCTTAATTTCTAGGCTTTGCAACAAGTGGGCGGTGATGTTGACGCTGCAATAGAAGTCCTTGTGGCTGAACAAGGATCTATTGATCAGATAATTGCCGAAGATGAATTTTCTCATCCGGCAGAGACTGCACATGGTAATGGTTGGCTATTTTTCTTTAATTTCCCATCCTGATTTCTTTTAATCCGTTCTTAGATATCGTTTTTTTAATCGAATGCAATGAACTAATAAATTTATAAAGGATCCGAGTTTTCGGTAACATCATGAAACTGAGAAACTCTTGTATCTCTTTCTTGGGCAGTTAGAATTTAGTATCTTATTTCTTTCTTGGGCTTCATGTGATAATTTTCTAAACCTTGTCAGATGAACTTCAAGCTGAGATCTCTGAGAAGCACGACTTAAAAGTCGAAGACACGACATGCAAGCTGGAGTTATCTGGCAGTGACGTGGAAACAAAACGCACAAAGAAAAACCCGCATCCTGATGACAAGGTTCTTTACATAAATACCCAAGAACCGGAATTTGATTTTTGAATTATTTTATTTTTTAGCATTTTATTATTCGTCCGGCTGATTGTTATGTAATTGCTGCAGAAAATATCAAGAAACAAGGCTTGCCCATGTGGCTCGAAAAAGAAGCACAAGTCTTGCTGCGGCTCAGTTGCTGGAAAATCTTCTGCCAGGTTTCCGGTGTATGATTCTTAATGACTACTCCTTTTGATAGTTCGTTCGTAAATCTGAAAATCAATTTGGTGCATCGTTAGTGTGAATCCACTTGACTGATAAAATTGCACATATCTCGCTCCTGCATTTTTGGACTTTCATCCTATGTATAGATTTCAGTTTCATTTTATTTCCACTGTGCATTAGATTCAAAAAAAAAAATGACAAAATGATGCACATTTCTTGATCTCGATCATTCATAAATCTGAAAAATCAATTTGGTGTATCGTTAGTGTGATTCCACTTGACTGATAAAATTGCACATAGCTTGCTCCTGCACTTTCGGACTTTCAACCTATGTATCGATTTCAGTTTCCTTTTATTTCTGTTGCGCATTAGATTCAACGAAAAAATGAAAATGTCGTTGCTCAATCGATCGTTAATATGCATCTCTCTGAATTGACGTAATGTTATTACATCTGCAGTAACCAAACGGTTGACTATGGAAAGACTCGGAAAGAAAGAAAGCAAGCTCGGAAAGGCGGCTCAACTGGTACGAGTTCTACTCAATCAGACGGAGGGCCACTCGATATGGGTTCACTATGTATCTAATCACATGTATAGATATATATATATTACAGGTACCCTTTGCATCAAATTCCACTTGGTGATTTAAATGTATCTATTATTTCGATTTCTTGATGACTAAATCTGTCTGAATCTAATTATGTATCTATCGTTAGTGCAGTTGAGCAGCACTTCTTGCGTTTTGAAGACGATATTTTTGTGAAAGAAAAGGGAAAATTTCAACGTCAAGTAAAGTACTCGTTTCTGCGCCAAAATTCGACCTCGCCAGTGTGTAATTTTACAAAGTGTTGAGATTTTCTTTAGAATAGCGAACTACAAAGTTTTGAGTTTTGACCCCATTTGCAGGGTGACATATAGAGGTTGCAGTATATATATAGTGTGTATAAACACAAAATCCACCATTGGTAAGGGGAAAGGATAACAATAATAATTATTATTATTTTTTATTTGGGTTTTGCAGAAAAGGAAATTATATATTATGTATTTTATTTTATTTTTTTGCTTGTAATGGAACAATTATAAATTTATTATCATATTTTTGGTCCTACAATTCCCTTTTAATAGAAACTATAAATTGTATGATGACGATGAATGGCTTATTACTCAATTACCTTTCTTAGCAAAACTAATTACATTATTGCCATTTTCATTCATTCATTATTCCCTAATGTTTCAACTTCATTGCCAAAAAGAGTCTTTCCAAAATAAAAAATATTAAAAAGGAAAAACCCCATGAATAAGTCATATATCTTTTTTAATTTAAAATGTTGAAACTAAGAGCCAACCCATCGGTTTCGAACCGTTCGGCCGTCATTCGAAAGGTTAAGTAAACTATACGCTTGACTGTCTCCTTTAGATACGATCCAGTCAAAATTCTTTGACACAATCAATCGACCCGTTAACCATGGACCTAGTCAGATCCAAGTCCGACTCGGGCCATAACCATATCTAAGTTGAGTGCTGAAAAATTACATTATAGACTTTTACTAATTATATTGATAATATGATGAATATATCCCTTTTCAAGAATAGTGAAAAAATGTAAAAGTGAACAAAAGAAGAAGAGTATCAAGGAAAGAAGCAATATATTATAAAATATATATATATATATATATATATATATATATATATATATATATATATATATATATAAGAATGATGTGACATTGTAACTGCGAGTACTTGACTAAGCAATTGAAGCATGTTCTATTACATTCCAAATTGGGCCCCCACTGAAATAGTATTGTGGGCATAAGACAAAGATTGATTTGATGTTACGATAATTTATCCTACAAATAGCCACCAAGTAATTAAGTGGCATCTAGACTTTGTCAAATATGTTCAATTCTTACAAGATTTCCTCTTCCACGTGTCATTCTTGAAAAGTTTATCCAATTTGTGTGTGTTGGGGATTGGGTTTGAATTCAAATTAATTTTAGTATTATTATTATCAAGAAAAAGAGGATTAGGTGATTGGGGTTGTCGAGAGCCAACCAAAAGTTGACACGACAGCAGGTGAAATTAAATGATAAAAAAATGGTTTTTCCGAGAATGGAAAGTGTGAGTAACTGTTTTAGATAGGGGTGTGCGCGGGCCATAAACCCGCGGGTTCTATGAAAACCCGCCCTCGTCCCGCCAAACAGCGGTTCTTGATTTTGAAGAACCAAACTTGAGGGTTTTCAACGGGTTTACGATAGGCGGGTCCATAGCGGGTTTGTAGTAGGACCCATCCTTTACGGGTCGAAACCCGTTATCGTCTAAACCAATTTTTTTTTTATATAATTTATAAGTTTTACGAGAGAATGATTAGAAACTAAAATGAATAACCTAAAATCTTAAATTGAAACCAAACATAAATAATGTAAATGTCAAGAGTAAATAAAAATTAATATAAAATTAAAAATAACTAATTCATAACTTAAATGACAGAATTTAAATAAAATAAATATAGCATTTTCAAGCATAACCAACGCTATTCAGCTCCATTCAGTACCATTTTTTTCCTTTTTTTTGTTTTTTTTTCTGCCGTGTGTTGACCGTTGTTTATATATGCTTTTTTTTCTACATTTTCTTAGAGATTTTCATAATCTTTGTAGCTATTACTTCCAAAATTATAGTTTAGTTTATTTATGTATTTGATACACTAGAGATATCTTATTTATTCATTACTATTATTAATTTATTATACTATATAATATAAACAAAACGACGTCGTTTTGTATGGCGGGGCGGGACGGGTTTCACGGGTATTAAAAAAAATTGAACCCGTCTTAGACCCAAACCCACGGTTTTTCACCATTTTAGGACCCAATCCTATGGGGGGATCTATTCGTCCGGTCCCAACGGGGCGGTTTTTCACGGGTTTGACGGGTATAGCGGGTTGATGGGTCCGACTTGCTCACCCCTAGTTTTAGAGGAGTCTTTTTGCTTTTGATAATGACTATTCCTTATTATCGTTTGTTTGAAAATTGAAACCAACCACTCTTTCCCATTTATAAAATGTTTATTAATATAAAAAAAAAAAAATAAAAAAAAAAATCCAGTAATTAAAAGCATTGTCTATTGGTGTAAAGTAAAACCCAATTTTACTGTTACCAGTCTGTGAAAGTGAAAAAGAAGAGATGCTGCATGCATACTTGTCCTCTATATATTTTAGCATCTTTTACCCCCAAGCTGGCATCCACTGATGACATAAAGAAAAGCCACTCCCTTTTATATATATATATATATATTTATTTTAATTTTGTTTTTGGTAATATTTGTTTTATTAATAATATTGATAATTAATCAAAGTCCAAAAAAAGGGTTTCTGCTTTAATTTGACTAGTGATGACATCTCATTGCATGCATATATATATATATCAGGCATGCATTAACTGTCATTTACTAGGAAAACAAGCTAAGTCAGTTTCTTTAATTCGAGGTGTTTCTTCGATCTCACTGTTTAATCAATCACTCTCTGTCTCTGACCATTATTAGATATATTATTAATATATATATATACAGTTTAATTTGTTTGTTAGATTTTTTGGACTAAAAGAAAAGTTAAATATTAATTAATTAACCGGGCTAGGGCCGGGCTTCAAATTAATTAATTGTCTCTGCTTTATGAATGTTACTGTTAGTTTAGCAACAATTTCTTTTTTATTTGTTCAGTGTGAATGAATGAATGAATGAATGAAGATAGTGATGTATTTCTAACAGTACTAAATTTGCAGTACTCAAAAATAAATAAAGCAAAAATGAACAAAAAGCATACGGAATATATGAGGGGTGGGGTGGGGGTGGGGTGGGGGGGGGGGGACTCGGGATTCAAGATAAAAAAATTTAAAAAGTTTACTATCCCAATTTTTGGATTTACAAAGAAATTAACCCATTTGTTACTTTTGAAAGGATATAATCAGCCGACAATATAAATTGAACAATAAACAGCATTCCTTGAGTTGAGCTTCAATACTTCTAAATATAATTATATAGATATGTCTTCGGACATGGCTGCTAGACTCTTAGCCTCCCCCCCATTTCACATTGACCGTTTTAGACAAATTGAACGAGATGCCCCATTGTAATCAGGCACAATACTGTAGGCCTGATTTATCTCTCATTGCTTCTTCTTACCCCCATTGGATATACTATAGACAGATGTG